AGGTTTTAACTTTAACATAGTAAAATTCATATAACAAAACAACTATCAAGGGAGAATTATAGTTATATCTAGTCTATTTGTATTTGGCAAAATTAAAGAAGATATCCTAGTTATCCTATATTTGTGAGTCTAAGGTTTCATATCTACCTTATTTCTTATCATAACCAAGGAAAATTATAACTATCTTGTCTTCAACTACATCAGAGACCTCAGAAGGATATAATATTACCTAAGTAAACAGGAAATGCATTGTAAGCAACTTTCAAAACTCCAGAATGACAGAGACAGCTGCCTGCCTGGACAGTCATCCAAAGTTCCTCGGTAACATTGGGGCATGCATCTTCAGCCCATAGGTCTAGAGTCTCTCAGTTGCTTCTCTGTGTCCTATAGAATGTCTGGCAGTTTCCTCTGCGAAGCAGGAACCTGAAGGACCATCTTGCACCATCTTGCAAAGTTCAGTGGTCACCTTTCTATGGGTCCTGCATGTCCAGGCAACACAACATTTTGTCAAGCAGTCCAGGCAAGAACAGTTTCTTGCCCAAATGGCTATTTTTGCCAAGAGGAAGATAAACTCCATATGGAGTGTCTTCGATGCCCATCTTTCTCTTTGAAGTAAATCAACGCTGCCAGGAGCAGACGTGTCTCACTGTCCAGAAAGTCTAAGTTTTTAAAACATTTTAAATGCCATATTCTGTAGGTCTTTGAAGTGTTTGAAGATTACCTACCTAACTGAATTATTTCTATGTATACCTAGAAAACTTAACATGACTATAAGTTTGACTTTCATAGAAGACTAATTATTAATCTGTATTTCATAATTATCCATTACAATTTAAATGAGTTACATAAACATATACCTTAAACAAGAGTAGAAATATATATATAGTATAACAAAATCAACTCTAAATTTGTATCAATAAACTAAAATCCATAGCAATGTAAAACATTTTTAAACAAGTTGCTGCTCTTTAAAAGTAGGTTCATTAATCTACCATTTTATCCTATCATATCTATATTCTACATTTCTATACCATATCCCTCTTTCTTCTTTTAGAAAGATATTGACTATGACCAATAACAATTTGCAACCAACAATCTAAACAAAGACAAACATCCATAATCCACTTTTTGGAAATGTGGGCATAGTTTTCTAGGCTACTTCCTGCTGATAAAGGGTGTTAGTAATCTTATGGGGACACAAAGAAAATTTTAAGATTACAGTCAAGTCCTGACTGGAGTAGTCTGTGATGCTGTATTCTCTGAGCTAGTTTCTTTGAAATTGATTTTGGATGTTGGATGATCTGGGCCATGGTGTCATTGGTGACCTTTCAGGGGGTCTTGGTCAAACCTGATGTATCTTAATCTGGAACAAATCCATAGCCTCTTGCTTCCTGTGGAAAGAAAAGCAGAGCCTCCTTTCCAAAGTAACATATCCTTAGATCCAAATTTTGAAATCAAGATACCTTTAAAATAGACATATTGGTTTAATTTAGTAGCCTTTACAATCAAATGTCTTTCTGCAGTTAAAAATATCAAAGACAACACAATCCAGATTTTCTGTGTAATATCCATCTTTATATGGCTTATTTTTTTATATTACTTTTACTTCCTCTTAAATGCTTTATTTTTTAAAACTTTCTATTTCTTTATACAACTGCCTACATACATTTTTACACACATTGTAAACCATCTAAAGTCTTGTTCCACAGCCTTATTGTGTAACTATTGCTTTAAACTGCAGTGGCTAGTACTAAAGCAGAAGCCTTGGCTCCTGACCCTGCCCATTTCAGCTTCCCAACATGGTGGAGGTAATTCACCTCCATCTCTGGGCCATGTGTACCATCAACTCTCGAAGCAGTGGTTCTATGCTTTTTTTTTTTTTTTTTTGTACTAGCAAAAGCTACATCTACCACGCAGAATAGTGTGCAGCTTGGAGACACCTCTGTGTAACATGGCGTAGGTTACATCTCACTGCCCACATGAGACATGAAGGAGGAACATGATTTTGGCTCTGTTTAGAATTGGTTATTAAATATTCTCAGGTTTCAGGTGGAAACTCGAGCCGTTGGGCACAATTTGTAACTGAAGTTTTCTGTGGTCCTGCCCAGCCTCACAGACCCTGCAGCCACTTGTAAAATAATCACTCAGAAGTCTATATTAATTTAAACTGCTCAGCCATTAGCTCAGGCTAACTATTGACTAGCTCTTACACTTAAACTCAGCCCATTTCTGTTCATCTATATGTCACCACGTGTTTCCTGGCTTTACCTGTGTGCCATTACATGCTGCTCCCTGGACAGCAGGCTGGTGTCTAACCTGACTCAGCCTTCCTCTTCCCACAATTCTCCTTGTCTGCTTATCATGCCTATACTTCCTGCCTGGCTACTGGCCAATCAGCATTTTATTTATTAACCAATCAGAGCGACACATTCACAGAATTCAGAGCAATATCCACAGCAGATATGAAACATTATTCTTTGTAACTTGTTGGATGCAGAATAATTCTCTTAAGCTTTCTGGATCCCAGATTCCTAATAAAACAAGAATAAAAATATCTTCCTTTTAGAATTGTTGAAAGAAGTAAATGAAACAAAAAGGAGTGCCTAATGTAAAAATGTATTTATTGTTTAAGAAATCTATAATGGCCAGACATGATGGTGCATACTTGTTATGTCAGCACTTAGAAGGCTGAGGCAGGGGGCCATTTCTTGCTACATAGAGAGACTGTCCAAAAATCCTAGAAAAGAACATTGTAATGGTGATGACATGTTATAGATATCCATTAAATGCAAGTTCTCTTAATGCCTGCCAGCCATTGATGAAAACAGCGAAGATGGGCTGGAAAGATGGCTCAGAGGGTAAAAGTAAAACACAAGCCTCATGGCCTGAGTTCGAGCCCCAGAACGCCTAAAAGTTGTCCTCTGACCTCTGCTATATGTGTGCAGTGGCATACATATGCCCACACGCACACACATAACACACATCTCACATATGCACAGTACACATCCCTCACAAACAATAATACTAATTACAAAATGTTTTGAAACGATGAAGGTGACAAGAGCTTCTAAGAGCCTCGTAGAATACCTGTTACTTCATTATGTTAATTTCTTTGAATATGTAATTGTTCAACTAAAGATCCATGTTATCCAATCTTAAACTATTCAGAAAAGTCATGATATATTTTGTCAAATGCCTTACTGAGCTCTTGATATATGCCTGCTGGTCATTTAAATGCTCTCGAGGGTCAATGACCAGCACTAAAAAAAAAAAAACCTATAATAAGATATCAATGCAGAAAAGCTGTTTAATTATTTGGTGGTTTAAAACAACAATTCACTTTTCTTCATAATTATGTGTTCTGATTGGGTGATTCTTCTGGTTTTCTTTCCTGGGATTACCGCTGGGTCAGCATCCGCCTGGAAAGTCAACTGAGGTGGATTGTAGATGGAGTTTCTGTCCCGCCTGGTCCTGCAGCTGTTCAGTCCCAAATAGACACACAAAGGCTTATATTAATTATAAAGTCTTTGGCCTATTGCTCAGGCTTATAACTAATTAGCTCTTACACTTAAGTTAATCCAAGTTCTTGGAAATTGCCAGTCTTGTACCCCAGCCAGAGTATGAATGACCTAATCCCTCTCAATTTGACCTCTTTTCCACGGGCTATCTAATCTTTTAGTTAGGTCTTTGTCATAGTATAATATCTGAAGAAATGAAGAGAAAGTGAAAGAATTAATGAGCTCTTGGGCTTGGGCTTCATAACTTACCCAGCATCCTCCGGGCCACCTTGTCCTGATCAAAGCAAACTCAGTCACTCAAAAAATGGGAACGCAAGTTCTTCTTCTTGCTGGAAGAGTTGTGAAAATTTCGTGGCCATAATTTATCACAGCCATTCAGGCATCTCTTGACATACTCAGCTTTTTTTATCCAAATGCCATCCCTTTCATCAGAAACCAGCACCTTCTAAAGTCTAGTAGCTATTACTCTCACTTCAGTGGGACCGTCTCTGGATACCCACTTGGGTCCTTGTTGGATATCACAATGTCTGCTGAGCTTAACTGCTTCTGTTGATTACCACTGTTGTTTCCCGCTCAGGACTATGGCAAATGTAGCAAAGTCCCCAGTTTAAGGAAAAAAATGTATTTCCATTTTTGTGTTGTATTTCACTAGAAGAAAATGAAAATGATATATGCTGAATATCTTCTAAAATTTTAGACATTTTGTTTTGAAAACATTTACTATATACAAAGATGTCATTTTAATATAGAACATCCTAAATCAAGAATACCAAGACATACCTACTGACAAGGAAAACACCATACTTTAGAGGATTATGTAGAACTATTTTTGTTATCAACACAAGTGTAAACATAGTTCTGAAGTTGAATAGCAGAACTCGTTTGTAATGTCTTACTTCAATAAACAAGAATATAAGGTAGGTGTGGTGGCACTCAGGAGGCAGAGGTAGGCAGATCTCTGTGAGTTCTAGGCCAGCCTGACCTACAAAGTGAGTTCCAGGTCAGCCAAGGCTATACAGTGAGACCCTATCCCCAAAACAAAACAAAAACCAAGATATATTAAGGAATATATTAACTTGTTTTTATTATCATCAAAACAGCATGTGCTTTACATGGAGAGGGGACAATACAGAGTTGGCATAGAATTTCAGTTTTGCAAGGTAAAAAGTTCTAGAAATTGGTTAACAATGAGTCCACTTAGCACTGTTGAAGTACATACTTAGAACTGGTCATGTTGATAAATTTTGTTATGTACTTTTAAACATTATCATACAAATAATACTTAATAATTATGGAAAAATACAAACAAATAGAAAAGAAAAACTACCTATAATCCTATCAGCTAAGATAAATATTTTATTGCCTAAATTATATTTCTTGTTTCACAATGCTTTTTGCTCTTTTATATATCGTGACCTTTTCAAATAAGTTAACTTATTTATTTATTTTATTTATTTATTTATTTATTTTTTTTTTGGTTTTTCGAGACAGGGTTTCTCTGTGTAGCTTTGCGCCTGTCCTGGAACTCACTTGGTAGTCCAGGCTGGCCTCGAACTCACAGAGATCCACCTGGCTCTGCCTCCCGAGTGCTGGGATTAAAGGCGTGCGCCACCACCGCCCGGCAAGTTAACTTATTTAAACCATATTTTATGTTTGTTATATGTTCTTATTTGAAAATTCAGAAGAATGTATATTTAACATTTCTGTGAATTCTTGACAGTTCAAACAGAATTGAAGCTCCATGTGTAGAGATGTCTGTCCTTCAGTTGATGTTTTTGTAAGTAACTAAACTTGTAGTAGAATATTTTAAGGGGTGTTACTTTTGTTCATATTGCATTTGTTTAACTCTGGGAAGCTGTGTTACTGTGCCTGATGGTCTAATAAAGAGATGGCCAATAGCAAGGCAGGAGAAAGGATAGGCGGGATTGGCAGGCAGAGAGAATAAATAGAAGGAGAACTCTGGGAAGAGGGGTTGGAGATCTAAGATCAAGGAGCCAGAGGAGGAGGAGGAGGAGGACTGCAGGGACCAGCCACCCAGCTGCACAGCCAGCCAGGGAGCAAGAGTGAGATTACAGAAGTAAGAGAACAGGAAAAGCCCAGAGGCAAAAGATAGATGGGATAATTTAACATAAGGAAAGCTGGCTAGAAACTAAGCCAAGCTAAGGCCAGGCATTCATAAGTAAGAATAAGCCTCTGTGTGTGATTTATTTGGGAGCTGGGTGGTGGGCCCCCCAAAAGAGCCAAAAAACCAATAGCATAAACTCAGGAGAAGAAAAGCATGCTGGGCTCCTGACTTGCCAGCTGCACTAACACCTTTGATCGGTTCCTTCTGTATATGGCCACACTCCAGGGGCTTTGGGGAACCGGTAAGCCTCCCTGTACCTGGCGATGTACCTGCGATCCCAGCCACATGTTTATCCACTGGGATGACATCAGCAGACTTTCAGCAAAGTTAACTATTAAGTGGTTAGGATGAAAGGTCAGGAGCCCTGCCTTTAACTGGGACATGAGAATGGGAAAAGCACATTGCCCCTTAACATCTGCTTCCCTTGAGGAAAGGGTAAAGAAGAAACAACACAATCGTAGAAAAGTCTTCACTACAGGAGTGATCTGGAAGTCATTATGGAGGAGTACTGCAACTCTACTTTTTGGGTGAGAAATTACATTTATTCTCACGTTTCTTCTTCTCAAACTCATGGCCATCAGTATGAATCAGTAAATTTAGAAGTGTATTTGGCCTAAAGTTTAGTTTAAGAAAAAAAAATCCTAATTTCTCCACATGATTGAACCATCTGGGAAAGATATTACAGTTTATTCTTAAGCTGTTTGTTTGCAGGTGATTTTCTTGAACTGTCTAGCTACAGAAGCACCTTCTATCAGAAATGGTGAAAAATGCAGTATCTTCAGTCCTAGGAATGAAATTGTTATATTTCCACTTTTGTTGTAGGGTAGGAGGAAAAGGAGAAGGCGCCTGTCTGAGCCCTTTTGGAATGTACTGATGTTGATTGAGATGATAATTATGTGTTCTAGGGTGCTGTCAGCTGAGGGTATAGACTATGAATTGAGGCCAGAATCATAAATTTGGGCATTATGAGCACTGAAATAACTTTTGTCTTTTTTGAGACAAGGTCTCTCTATGTAGCTCTGCTGGCCTGGAGTGCTCTATGTAGACCAGGTTGGCCTTGAACTCACAGAGAATCCACCTGCCTCTCGAGTGCTGAGCTTAAAGGTGTGTGCCACCATCCCTGGCCCGGGATAATTTTCTAACTATTAGAAGTGTGTAGCACTGCCTTTAGAGAAGGAAGGAGCACTGGAGAAGGGCCGGTGTTTTGGAGGGGGAGGGTTAAATAAGAATAGCACAGTGTAGAGCCATGGAGAGCTGGGACTTTCAGGCCAGAGCACATTGCCAAATGGCTTGGTGGATGGAGAGTGAGATTCTAAGTGTTGCCTGCAAACCCTTTACACCATGTTCAAATATGTTAGGTGAGTTTTCAGAATTCTAAAGCTTGGGGACCTTCCATAGTGATGAGAGGAGCAGGAATGATATTGCAGACAGTCCTGAATATGTTAGGAAGAACTTGAGCCGCCAGGCCTCCATGGCCAGCACATGAAGACTATCAGAAGGTAGCAAACCATCTCTTGAGAACCTCCTCTGAGAATTAGTCAACAAATCATCTTGGCAGGCACTTTAACCTTTCCTTTAAAGCATCAGTACCAAGAGAGCTACAAAACCTTTGAAAGAATTGATGGAAAAAGAGAAATCTACCTTCTCCTGATTCCAATACAGGGACCTCGACCCAACTCCATCCCCAAAGACTCTTTCATTTATTACATGCAAAGTAAAAAACATGCTTCCTGTCCAAGAGTGCATTGTCACTCCTTCACCAAAATGTACCAGGTCCCCTTGGCTTTGATAGAAGCCTTCTCAGCCATAATAGTCTATGTCATAGTACGACTAAATATCCTGTCTATCTGCTATCTGCAGGTTAGATTATCTGCCACCAAGTAACATGCTCTTACACCTGGGAAACTATTCTCCCCTTTGGATAGAGGAATAGTCTTTCTTCTTCCTATAATTTGCTAAACATTTTAGCAAGTTTTACACAGACTAGTCAGTGTAGAAATCACTTAAAACTGCATGAAGGTACGTTTTTAGAGGTGGGATTGCCAGGAAAGGCCCTAAATGTTATTAAATGGTGACTTTGTATTAATGTAATGTATTATATTAAATGATGAGCACAAAAATACAGGTAGTTAAAAGGTAAAGCTTGCTGTAGACATGGAGTTGAATTCCAGTTGTTAGGAAGCATGTGGAGAACGCTGGGAGAATGGACATCTTTTAAAAAGTATGAATATGTGTTTAACAGTTTTTCCCTTTCGGTCCCCCAGAATTCCTCATTACTGGACAGACCAGATGCAGACCTGCCACTTTGTTTTGAACAAACTGTCCTCGTGTGGATTCCCCTGGGCTTTCTTTGGCTCTTGGCTCCTTGGCAGCTTTTCAGTGTCTATAGATCCAGAACCAAGAGGTCATCTCTAACTAAATTCTACCTTGCTAAGCAGGTACAGTAGCTCCACTATTTTCAAACTCTATTTCCTTGGTGTTGAGGTGAGGCATTTTGAGTGTGTGTGTTGGGGGCGGGGGGTTAGTGTCTTTGTCCAGTCTCTAAATGGTTTGCTGGGTAATAAATACTGTTTCAAGCAGAGCCATGCTGTAATCCTGCCCATGCCTCACCTTCCAGGCATTTGAGACGTGAACAATGGGTCACCCATCTTTAAGATGCTCTGATAAATCAGGGGGCTGTAATTCAGTTGGCACCTACCATGAGATGCAGATGAACTGTATAATGTATCTTTTGCACCAATCTAACAATCACTTATTTCCCAAAACTTAGATCTGAAATGGGTTTTTACATTTTTCTCAAGTAGTTCCCCAGTCAGGATGACCACGCAGGGTGGAAAAAAGAGGGTTAGTATGCATGGTGACAAGTCAGGGCAGGGAGTAATGTGAAGTGCATAGGCTCTAGCAGAGATCCCAGGAGGAAGGAGAGAAGGAGACCTCAGCCTGCTCCAGCAGCCGACTCAGTGAGTGGTCTTGTGATGCTGTAAAGTTTCCTTTAAATCTACCAGCTCCTTCTTTGACTGCTTCTCTTCTCTTTTTTCTTCTGTCTGTCCTCATTTTCAAAGAGGATTTTAGAAAAGCGAATTAGACTCCCTTGTTTAGCGAACTTCTATGCCTGTGGCCTATTGGAGACTGGGGCTTAAAGGCGAAGAAAGTTGGATTCATACTCTGTTTAAACATTCTGTTTAACTCGAAAGTGCACATCTCTACAGAGAAGAAAACACACACTCTTCTAGTCTACCCGTCTTAATCCAGTCTCTGGAGACCCGTTTAAAATGTGTGTTCTGGTTTTGGTCCCTATTCCAAGGGTGGCAGGCATAGCTTTAACTTCTTAAAAATGTCGGAATTGGTTCCTCCTCTCATCCGAAAGTAAAAATTCACGTTTTCTGTGAAAATCTCCCTTCCGACTTCAACTTGCTTTTCTTCTCAGCCTCTCTTCTCCCCACCTTTGGACTGTTTTGTTCTTTGACTTCCTGAGTTGGTGCTGCTCTAGTTGTTTGGTCACTAGTGTGGTGCTATCTCATCTGGACTTAGTCAGTCTGCCTGGTGCTATCTCATCTGGACTTAGTCAGTCTGCCTGGTGCTATCTCATCTGGACTTAGTCAGTCCGCTTGAGCAACATGAGACCAGCTGACTCCCCGGGTTGGTTTGTTTAAAGATTCACTTTAGTGAAGAACAAACTGAATTTTAAAACAAATAGTAATAGCTGTGGAAATGCTGAGTCGGATCCAGAGGTAGAGCAAAAACAAATGGGTTTAAACCAATAAGATATGGGGATAATTACAGAAGTATAAGCTAAAACATTGCCCAACTTGTCCTGAAAAGTTCCAGTAAGCAAGACCAAGATAAGAGAATGGAGTTATTCCAGGGTGGGAGGGTTTAGCTAAGTAAACAGAAAAAAAATCTAGTAAAAATGGCTAACTCATAATAGACAGGACTTCGGGGGGGGGATGTAATCCCTGACAGTGTTGAAAGTGAGATGTTCCATCTGTTCATGAAGTGGTAGAAGTGGCATCCTTAGTAATCAGTTGACTTAGCTACAGCACCTCATCATTCACAAAGCACCGAGAAAAAGTGGATCTTGCCTTGGGAGCCGTATTAAATATGAGTGAATAATATTCTCTTCTTTAATACCAATGAGATACATTGCCTTATAGAAAGTTGCATCTTACATACATACAAGTAATATTATATGGACTCAACAGGTTATGTTTAGGAATATAAATGTATGTACAAATACATATATGCACACAATAGTAATTAATGAAAAAAGAGGCCTTGACTTTGAAGAAGAGTTGAGAAGGGTAGATGGGAGAGTTTGGAGGGAAGAAAGGGAAGGGAGAAACATTGTAATTAAATTATAATCTCAAAAATAAACAATAACAAAAAAGGAAGTTGAGTTTTAGAAAGTTTTAAAGTCTGTCCTTGTCTGAATTCTGACAAATCAGACATCAGGATCCAAAAATATTAGGTGTTTAGTGAATCATTAAACCACCATGTGTTTTCCTGTTGCAAACTGAAGTGTGTGCATGTTTCTAATGATAAGAAGGAATATGTGGTTAATGTAGGAAGTGTGGGAACTCCAGAAAAACAGCAAGAAAATTAAATACATTGATAATATATCACTCTGATACATTCCAGGTTAATGCTGCCATATATTATCATCTATCTTTTAATGTTTTTTTAAATTTATTTTTATTTTGTATACATAGGTGTTTTGCCTGCATGTATGTCTGTGTGAGGTATTGGATCCTGGGAGTTACAGACAGTTGTAAGCTGCCATGTGGATGCTGGGAATTAAACCCGGATCCTCTGGAAGAGCAGTCTGTGCTCTTTTTTGTTCTAATTAAGAAATTTTTTTAATTCATTTTACACACCTATCACAGATCCCCCTCTTCCCTCCTCCCACCCCGCCAGCCTTCCCTGCTCCAACTCACCCCACTCCCCATTCCCTCCTACAGTAAGGTAAAACCTCCCATGGGGAGTCAGCAGAATCTGATACATTCAGTAGAGGCATGTCCAAGCCCCTCCCCCTGACTCAAGGCTCTGTGAGGTGTCCCACCATAGGTAATGGGCCCCAAAAAGTCAGCTCATGCACCAGGGATGGATCCTGATCCTACTGCCAGGGGGGCCCTTAAGCAGATCAAGCTACACAACTGTCTCGCTTATGCAGAGGGCCCCGTCCAGTCCCGTGGAGGCTCCACAGGTGTTGGTCTAAAGTTCCTGAGTTCCCACTAGCTTGGTTTGGTTGTCTCTGTAGGTTTCCCCATCATGATCTTGATGCCCCTTGTTCATAGCATCCCTCTTCTCTCTCTTTGAGTGGACTCCCGGAGCTCAGCCTGGTGTTTGGCTGTGGATCTCTGCATCTGCCTCCATCAGTTGCGGCCAGTGCTCTTAACCGCTGAGCCATCTCTCCAGCCCTATTCTTTTTTTTCAAGAGACGAAAATATACAAATCAAAAGCAAAAATTTCTTCTTCATCCTCCTACTTTGAAGTCCTGTTCTGTAGAGGCCTCAGTTATAATGATTTTGATGGTTATATCTGTATCTGCCAGTGATGTATTTGCATGTATATTTTTCATCTATCAAGTAATAAATGATGTACTTCTGCTTAGGAATTGGACATGGTGCTGTGGCAGGGGCTGGGGAGAAAGAAGTAACTGGCAGAGCTGCTATCCTCCCATGGGCGTGCAACACACACACACACACACACACACACACACACACACACACACACACACATGTGCTGAACACCAAGGTTCAGTCAAGTCTTCCAGTTCTGTCCTATCCTATTTTTTCTCATATTTCTGGTCTTTTTATTTTGGATTTTTTTCCAAAGTATTTTTTTACTTGTTACCTTCATACTTAAATTTAAATTCTACCTCCTGATGCACTTTTGGAAAACATTAGATGATTCGTGTTCTCAAATTTCTTAGATCCCTCTACAGGAGAACATTGTCAAATGAGGCTTTTAGAAAGGCCAGCTGTAAATCTCTAAATCTTTGCGTCTCTCAGGTGCTCATATGCTTAGGAAAGTCTAGCTCCACATTTTTGTTCAGCTCTGAAGAGTTTGCTATATTTTCCCTTAGAGTCTTGTGTTACTAACAATTCTTATTCCTGTGGTCCTCGCTAGATGCTTTTTATTCTTTCTAGTTTGAAATCTCATGAATCTGACTTCATACATCTTTACCTGTTCAGTGTGTCATTCAACCTAAAGACTCATAGCTTTCTTACCACTGAGAAATTTTTATGTTACTCTTTTACTTCCTTTCTTCCAACTTGGAAATTCTTTGTCTTCAGAGTTTCTTTTAGATAGATATTGAATTCTCTGATGGATTTTCCTCCCCAATTCTCTCTCTCTCTCTCTCTCTCTCTCTCTCTCTCTCTCTCTCTCTCTCTCTCTCTCTCTCTCTCAAATACTTTTTTCTCTTTTCCTCTATATGCTAGAAGATTTTTTTCAATGATTTCTTCCAGTTGTCCTAAGAATCTTTATTTTAATATTCAGCAATTGTTAAGAATTTTTCTTAATTTCTAAATATATCTTTTCTTAAAAAGCCACCTGTTTAAAAGATAGTGTCTTCTCAAATCTGTCTTAGAACATTAGTTTTAAAATTCTCTTCACTTGCTGTTTTCTGTTTGACCCCAGAATCAGTTCTTCTGTTTGACCTTGTCTGTCTTCTTTGCTTCCATTGTTTTCCACAATTTCCTAGCATCTCCCAACTTCATTTGCATTTATAAATGAAAGTCTTAGTTAACACAGACAGCTGGGTAGACCTCTTCTTTTTGTGTGTTAACCTCCACAGCTGGCCTCTCCCTGATGGGAAGCCTGATACTGAGCTCTGAGCCCTTGACAACTGTCTGGGTCCCCTCACCAGCTCCCCTTGAGGGAGAAACAGCCTAGACTGTACCTGTCTGCCCCATGTAGAGGAAGTGAAGATGAGTTTACTCTGGGTACCAGTAGTCCCACTATGTTCCAGGCCTCCCCACGACAGCATTCACGTTCTTTAGAGAGCACTTGGCTTGCTTTAGTGATTGATGTGTTCAGTGGGATCTAAGTCATGGAGTGGGCGTGTGGGAAGAAGGGAGCAGCTGGCATAACAGAACCAGTTGTGAACATGGAATGTCGGTTAAACATTTACCTTGTGTCCTGTTATCTGTCCTTTCTGGGGTAGTTTGGATCTTGAGTGTCTCCCAAAGGCCCATGTGTTAAAGGCTTAGTCATCAATGTGTGGTGTTACTGTGAGTTGGTAGAACCATTGGGGGTAATGTAAGGAGATCTGATCTTTAAAGACATGCCCTTGAAGGAGAAACAGGGATGTTGGCCCTTCCCCTAGCTTTCCTCTTTGCTTCTTATCTGTCATGATGTGATCAGACCTCTTCCACCAGGTGCTTCTATGGCATGTTCTCTGCTGCTACCAGCCCAAGTGACCACAAGCTGCAACCATGAGTTAAGATAAACTTTTCATTGTATAAGATGTTTGTCTTAGGTGTTTTATCATGGTGATGAAAAGATGACCAACAGAGCAGACTACAAAGAATATATTTGTGTCAGTTAGGGCTTCCACCGCAGCATTTCTGTTGAATTAAGTCCAGAAACAGCGACAGATGGCTGGTTGTTTTTATCAATTTTCTTGTAATGTCAGTGTATCAAGCCTCTTAAGCTAGTGTATGATTGTAAGATGGCTGCAATATCTCCATGCAAACCATCAAGTCAGTATCCAGAGGCTAATAAAGGTGTCAGGCAACTGTTGTGCATTGTTTAAAAAACATTACTGAGATTATAGTTCATGTGCTATAAAACTAACTAAGGTGTGAAATTTGATGACTTTTAGAGTATTTCCAAAATTATATGACCATCGTTACTGTCTAATTCCAGGATGATTCATCACTCTAAAACCAACCCTGAACCCAAGCTTCCTCCCGATTCCCATCTCACCCCCATCCCTGGTAACTGCTAACCTGTTTGCTGTTTATAGAATTTCCCTACTCAGGACATTTCCTATATGAAAAATCATATAATATGTAGTCTTTACTCTCTAATATTTTACTTAACAAAGTATTTTAGGTTTATCTATGTTGCAGCATGAATTAGTATTTCACGTCTTTGTAGATTTATTTTTATTATAGTAAGTACAAGGTTACTGTTCATTATTACTAGCTACTCTAGAACTTTTTCACCACCCCCAAATAGAAACTCAAGCGGTTTCTTCTTGCTGGCTATCTCCTGTCCGAGCCCCTGACAACAACAAACCTACTTCTAGTCTCTAGATGTACTTGATTTGTCAATTTCCTATATAAATGTAATTATATATCTATGTGACTTAGAATGTGTGCCCTTTTGTGTATGACTTCTTTCACACAGCATAACATTTTAAAGACGTATCCATGTTATAATGTACATCAACACATCATTCATTCTTATGACTGAAAAATATTATATGGCTAGACCACATTTTTTTTTTACCTGTTCATCAGTTGATAGACATTTGAGTTGTTTTCACTTTTGTCTATGTTAAATGATGCTGTTAGGAACATTTATATATTAGATTTTTAGTGAACAGAGGTTTCCAATTTCTTAGGTACATACTTAGAAATAGAATTACTGGGTCATCTCTTGAGGAACTTACAAAATTCCAAAACACCCATAACCTTTTATGTTCCATTAGCAATGTTGGATGTTTGTGATACTAATTTTCATCAGGACTTATTACTGTCCATCTTTTTCATTTTAGCTAGATGAGGTGATATCTTGTAGTTTTGTTGTTTTTATTAATTCTGTGTGGGTGAAAGAGAAAGTGAGTGTGTATGTACATGTGTATGCACATGTGTATGCAAGTACAGAAGCCAGAGGAGTATGTTGGGGTCTCTGCTCTGGGACTCTTTACCTCACTCCCTTGAGACAGGGTCTCTCACTCTAGTCGGAGCTAGACTGGCAACCAGAAGTCCCCACCAATCCTCCAGCTTCTCCCTCCCATCCCCACCATCAGGGATGGGGTTACAGACCCACACTGTAGCCATGGGATTTAGCATCTGTCAGCGGTGGCCACACTGTAGGCTGGAAGAAACGAGGTGTAAGGTGGATGCTGTAGGACAGGCAGAGACACCAGTGAGCTCAGCTCAGATTCAATGCTACCTTTTAAAGGTGCATTTTAAGCTTTAGTTTCTCTGCTATTTGCATCCAGACTTGCCTGTCGGCCTCCAGCCCCCAAATAATGATACGGAGACTTCTTATTAATTATGAAAGCTTGACCTTTAGCTTAGGTTTGTTCCCAGCTAGTTCTTATAACTTAAACTAACCTGCTTTTGTTAGCCTATGTTCTGCTACATGGCTTTTTTTTTCAACCTTTCCTCCATTCTGTATATCCAAGTTGGTCTGTGTCTTGCTAGTGTCTTGGTGAGCCTAGATTCATCTCCTTGAGTTCCTTTTTTCCCCTGGAAGTCCCGCCTATTTTCTCCTGCCTACGTATTGGCCATTCAGCTCTTTTTTAAACCAATCAGAAGGTGCCTTAAGCGGAGACACATCTTTCCAGTATACAAAAAGATTATCTTACAACAGCTATTGTATCTGCCACTATTAATAGTTTGTTTTTTACTTCTAAAGTACGCCTGATCTGCTGATGTCTTAGTTACATTTACTAATTGTTACCATGAAATAGCCTGAAAAAGTAACTTAAGGAAGAAAGAGTGTATTTTGTATTCACAGGTAAAATTGACCATGGCAGGGAACTCCTGGTCTCAGGAGCGTCAGGCAGCTGGTCACAGCAAATCTACAGTCACAAAGAAGAGAGTGATGATGCATGCATCTGTATCATTTGTATAAATACACATCGTATACACAAACACTTCATGGTCAAAACTAAGGCCACAGAACTTTTTCCTATATTTGTGGGAGGTGGGAGTAGAAAGGGATGTGGAAGGAGGGGAGATGAGAGTAGAAAAGGTCCTCGTGTGGAGATGGAGATACTTGTATAACTTCTCAAAACAAGCAGTAATCCCCATCGGTGCTGGGTGGGTCTCCAGTACAATGTGAATGATGTTTTAGGAGCTCATAGGACAAAAACACTGGGTGTTGGGGGTCAGGGCACCTGAGATGAAGTAATTGCAGTCTTTTGCAATATTAACTTCAAAGGTTTTGTGAGGCCGAGACCAAAGGCCCATGACCAAAGGAAAGAGTATCAAAAAGGTTGAAATGTTGAAATGGATTTTTTCAAGATGGAATCTGGTACTCACTCTGTAGCCTAGGCTGTCCTGAGACTCAGTCTTCCTTCCTCAGTTTCTGAGTGCTGAGATTACAGGCTCCTTCTAGGTTTGAATTCTCCTTTCATACTTAGTACATAACTTTCTGTTTCTGTGCAGCAAGTGGCCTCCCAGATTAACAGTTTAGAGAATAGGGGTGTGTGTGTGTGTGTGTGTGTGTGTGTGTGTGTGTGTGTGTGTGCATGTGGAGGTCGGAGGTCAACCTCTAGGGGTGTTCCTTGAGCCGTCCACCTTGCTTCTTTCAGAAACAGTCTCTCACTGGGACCTGGGGCTTACCAGCTGGACTAAGCTGTCTGTCTGAAAAGCCCCAGGGATCCTCCTGTTTCTGCCTTCCCAGAGCTGGGATTACAAGCGTGTAATATCAAGCTTTTTTTTTTTTTTTTTTAGACAGGGTCTCATTATGAATCCCTGGCTGTCCTAGAACTCACTCTGTAGACCAGGATGGCTTAAAACTCACAGAGATCCACCTACCTCTACCTCCTTGGTGCTGGGATTAAAGGGATGCACCACCATGACTGCCAATGCCTAGCTTTTCTGCATGACTACTGAGTATCAAACTCAAGTCCTCATGAATGGGTAGCAAGAACGTTACTGACTGAGCTCTCTCCCCAGCTCTCTCTCTCCATTTTTCTTTGACATATATATTTGTCTTCTATTTTTTTAAATTAAAAAGTATCGTATGTTGAACACATTCCTCCCAAGAATAAACATTTTTACCTTATATTTTCTATGGATCAGGAATTTATGAGCTAATTGCTTGACTCTATTTTAAGGTCTCTCATGAGGTTCTTGGCTAGAGGATCTGCTTCTAAGATGTTCATCCACTTGAGTGTTAGCAGAAGTCCTCGGTTTCTCAGTGGCTGTTACAAAACAGTCTCATTTCCTAATCAAGTGAACCTTTCCCTGGAGCACTTTGAACATCTTCATGACAGGGCTAGCAGGCTTCTTGAGAACTATTGCCCTGGGAATACCAAGACAGAGGGAAACCAAGACAGAGCAGCTGTGTGGCTTTCTATGACTTTTACCACTTTCTTTCTTAAGATTTTTCAAAATGTGTGTAAGTGTCTCTGCATGTACGACACACACTGCAGGTATCTTCAGAGGCCAGAAGAGGGCATCAAATCCAATGGAATTGGAGTTGCCCTTTTCATAGTTGTGAGCCATCTGTTGTGAAGAAAGGAGTAACAACAACAATAATCATTGACACATTTTTTTAAATCATCACATCAAAATACTTACCATGGCTTCTTTTGTTTTAAAACGTGTCCTCACTCCATAGCCCAGTCTGGCTTTGAACTCATGATCTTTCTCCCTCGACTTCCCATGTGCTGGGGTTACAGTTATTGTGGCACACTTTTAACTTGGTTCCTACTGAACTGTGTGTGGGTAGTTACACTGGCAATGTAACCTCGTAAGTGTGTTATTTGACTCACTGTGTACTCTTGCCCATCGCTGCAGACCATTCCATTGCGAGAGGTTCCGAGAGCCTCAACAGTAACGCGTCTTGTCTCTCCTCAGGTGCTCGTCCTGTTTCTTCTCATTGTAGCAGCCATAGACCTGGCTCTTGCACTCACAGAAGATTCTGGACAAGCCACAATTCCTCCTGTTAGATATACTAATCCAATCCTCTACATATGCACATGGGTAAGGTTCAGTACCACTTCCACCCCATTTATCTTCTCTTCACCCAGAAGCAGCTGAAATGCACTCTTTGGGTATTGAATTAAGTCCACTTTCACCTGTCTGTTACAAGAATTTACAGAGCAATATTGCTTAATTTTAAAGGAGGGAAACAAACTTCTTCTTGTTTTGAATTCTAATCTACAGAACCTTCTCCAATTTTACTCCCACATCTTGCCATCTAAGGACCACAGATGAGATCTAACTTTCATGATGTAAGATAATTTTTAAATGTTGTAAATATGATTTTTAATTGGCTGATGGATAATCAGATCACTGAGTCTAAAGCTGTGTATAAGTTTGATAACAGAAACTGCTAAACCAGGTGATACACTCCTGCAATCCCAGCGGGTGGTGTGTTCCACTCCAGCCTATCTCAAAACAGAGAGAAGAAAAAGAAAAGAAAGAAGGAAACTATTATCTCTCCTGCAGGCATATTTTATTTGGGGAGAGGAGCATATAGTATTTAAAAGAAACTATTGAATAGTTCCTATCATATTAAAAGAGGAAACTGTCACAAAACTATTTGGATTGACAAACTTTCTCAAAAAATGAGAAGCTTAGATTTTTCCGTGTTCAGTACAGTCTTGGAGCCCCCTTACCCTGCCTTCATTCAGTAACATGATCTGGCAGTTCTCCCCAGGAATCTTTGTGATCACTGCGCAGACAGTAGTGTTCTGGAGCTGGCTAATACAGCGCTGACTGGGTTGATACCCGCCCCCAACTCTTCATTTGGAAATTAAGTCTACCACAGCAGCAGGACAATCTTTACACCAGGACAATCGACCGTTGCTACAGATCATGGCTTCTCTCCCTCCAGAATAGTAATTTGCTAGAACAGCACTAGGTATAGGAACCAACATGTTTGTGTGAAATGATACAGGCAAGGCTTAGGGATTTTAAAGAAAAGTGAGTTTCTTAGACCAATATTACAGAATCAAGATGTAGTCGACCAGTACCTATTCACCAGAATCTGCCTCCTCAACCTGACTACTGCCTGCTGCTAATTTCCTGGTGTCCTGAAAAGGTTTTCATAACTCTTAAAGTAACTCCACTACAATTCAGTTGTAACATTCTGCTTTCTTGCTAACTTCTCACCAAAGTGTAGAGATGAAGTACTAGAAAGAGGATTCAATAGCATCAAGGAAGTAATGTAAATCTGACATTCATGTGTCCTCTGCCTGGCCAAATTAGCTTCAGGTCCCCTTTCTTCCGTGTTCCCTGACACTCTCCTCTTCTGTCCTTGGTGGTGACACTGTGCTTCAGAGTCTCATGTACATTTTCCTCTAGCTCCTGGTTCTGGTGATCCAACACAGCAGGCTGTGGTGCATACAGAAGAACTCATGGTTCCTGTCCCTATTCTGGATTCTCTCAATATTCTGTGGCACGTTCCAATTTCAAACTCTGATACGAGCCCTCCTGCAGGTAAGAAGAAAGGGAGGTGACGATAAGGTACTTCTGGGCATCTTCTGAGTCAAAGAAAATGGCCTCAGGTAATCTGAGTTCCAGGATAGAGTTGTATCAAAGAGTTTAATCATAAGCACTGGTGCACATGAATTGTTTAGACTGTGATTAAAAAAAAAAAAAACTCATTTTTTTTTTTTTGCCTCCTACCCTTAGGACAGCAAGTCTAACATGGCCTACTCCTGCCTGTTCTTCATCTCCTATGGGTTCCAGATCATCATCCTTATCCTTTCAGCCTTTTCAGAACAAAGTGACTTATCACATGTGAGACTAACTATATTCATTTCATATATTATTTAACTGGAGGATACCCGAGCATAAGTAGTTTGGAGATGTCTGAGTTTCATGGAGGTCTCATGAGCCCACAATAAGGGACAGATTGAATATCACTGATCCAAAAGTCTAATATCCAAAATTCCCCAAGTTTGAAGCTTTCAAAAAGACTGTACAATATTGCAAAATGGAAAAACTTCAAAACTTGAAACACGATTGGTCCCAAATTTTAGATAGTAGTATAGAATGTTTTATATATATGAAGAAACAGAGTGCTAAGTATATGGAAACACTGACTTCCATGTTCATCTGGAAATGTTCCACACAGACAGCTAATTCATATATCTATGCCGGAAAATCTGGTCTTTCAAGCCTCCAAATGCATGCTGACCAGCCAACATCAGCATAACAGCTAGACTCTAAAGCCATGTCTAGAAAAGCAGTTTCTGATTTTAGAGTCCCATAGAGTTCCTATTTCCAATTGATTCACTTTTCAACGTTTTATATTTTTCAGAATCCATCATCCACGGCTTCATTTCTGAGTAGCATTACGTTTAGTTGGTTTGACAGGTAGGCAGTGCCTGGATTATGGGTTATCTGTATCTTTATATGCTCAATTCTCTGAAAGCGAAGAAAAGCTCAGTTTTTTAAAAGTGCCTCCTGTGGCCTCCATTTTTCTTCTCTTAGAGAGTTTAGGTTAGTTTAATTCAGCCCCTTCATTGGATTGATTAGGATAAGGAGGAGAAACTGGGAGGTAATCATTTTTGGTAGCCTGAGAGTTCCATGGGAGAAACAGAAGGAGACAGCAAGACAGGAAAGGGGGGATGTGGAGGCAGGTGGTGTGGTACAGGCTTGCAGGGAAAGAAAACACAGCAGCCTGTGCTACCAGAGGGTCTAGAACAGGTATCTTTGGTCTTTGTAGTTTGTAGACCCTCTGAAAGGCTGGTGAGGTCCATAAGTGTTTTACGTACATTGAACACTGACTGTAAACACAGAATATTTAAAAAGCAAGTTTGTCGGGGTGGAGAGATGGCTCAACAGCTCAGATTCTTGCTATTCTTTCAGAGGACCTGAATTCAGTTCCCTGCACTCATATCAAGTGGCTCACTTACTACCTGTAACTCAGGCTCCAGCAGGATCTCATGCCTCCAGCATATACAGACACCTGTACACATGTACACATGCTCTCATACAGATACATACACATACACATAATGAACGCTTCAAATTAAATTATATTAAAATTAAAATAAAAAGACACATTTGTGATATAGTGTGAATATACTTTAAAATCAGTTCATTGAATTTAACCATCTAATGATAGATCTCATAAGGATCATAATTTGAAAGTAGCGATGAGTCTAGGTTAGCCATGAAAGCATCTATGGTTTCTCTTGGAAACAAAGACACCATATTCTGCTCAGATTAGGAGAAAAGGCTGGATTTCAGTTATGAGCTGTTACAAATAAAGATGTAATTAATGTTCCACTCATGTTCTCAAGCCCTGAGTTGGAGAGTCACAATCTAGAAATACAGTATGAAGGCAGCTGTGAGATTGGCTAAATTTCCTAAGGGCATCAGGGAGGTCCCTCAAGGAGATACCGGAGTGTAGAGAGAAGGAGCGAGAGCAGGAGGAGGTGACACCTTTGACTTGTGACCCAGTAGAGCCTCTCCCCTTCTCTTTTCCATGTTGTCTTCGAACACATTCTGTTGCCTCTGTGTTCTCCCCACTCTTCCGTTAGATTAAAGGGCCAGGAGATGGAGACAGCAGAGCAGTCGAGATGTCCAAAATGTCATCCCCCTCTCTCAGATCCGCAGGCTAGGTTCTGATAGAGGCGGGCTGATACAGCGCATAGGGTCTCAGCCTGGGGGTCATTCTTGTTCCAGCACTGTTCTGAAAGGTTACAAGCATCCGTTGACACTAGAAGATATCTTGGATGTTGATGAAGGGCTTCAAACCAAGTCGGTCGTAAGCAAGTTTGAAGCGTTCATGACAAAGGACCTGCAGAACGCCAAGCAGGCTCTTCAGAGGCGGCGGAAGAAGTCCCAGCGGAACCCTGATGCCGCACTACACGGTTTGGACAAGAACCAGAGTCAGAGCCAAGATGTTCTTGTCCTGGTAACTCTAACACACGTGTCTGTGTGAATGTGCTGTATGCCTCAGGCAAGAAGCAGTGTCATTTCTGACATTTTTTCGCATTTTCATACTATTCACTGCACAGTTCTTGTAATGCCTGAGTGATGGATGCATGGATGTATAATATACTGTTGTTTCTCCTTTGGGATATATTTGAAAATTTTCACAGTATAACAATGAAAATAATAATAATAATAATAATAATAATAATAACAACATTACTAGGGCTAGGGAGATGGATGGCTTAGAAGGTAAAAGCACTTTCCACATGAGCCTGGGGGCCTGACTTTGAATACCTAGAGCCTACATAAAAGCTAGACACAGTAGAATGTGCATCTATAATTCTAGGTACCTACAGGAAATGGGGAGTGGAGACAGGAAAATGTGCCGAAACTCTTAGGCCAGCTAGCCAGATTTAAGCAGCAGGGAAGGGACCCTATCTCAAATAAGGTAAGGCCAAGGCCAAGACCAACACATGAAGGTTGTCCTGACACCCAGGTGTACACTTTGGCACACCTACAACCTGTACTCCCGCACACAAACATTCTCTCTCTCTCTCTCTCTCTCTCTCTCTCTCTCTCTCTCTCTCTCTCTCTCTCTCTCCACACACACACACACACCACATACACACACACACACACACACACACACACACACACACACAATCATTACTTGAAACTGCACAGTATTAGAAGTCAGCATTAGTAGCTAACATATTGACTCATTTATTCAAACATATTTACTGAGCACAGATGTGTGTCTATTTGGGGTAATGGGTACAACAAACAAGTCTGATAGAAATCTCATCTTTAGAGAACCAGGGAAAAAAGCAGTAAGACAATCAATATGCTGAGGGAAATAAATGTGATTAATAAACTAAAAACAAGCATGGTACAGTGATTACTCAGGAAGCTCAGGCAGGAGCATCAGGTGTAGCTTAAGTTTTCCTGCCTGGCCCACAGTCAGGACAAATCTCTCTCACCTGCCAGTCCCACAGCCGCTCAGACCCGACCAAGTAAACACAGAGACTTATATTGCTTACAAACTGTATGGCCGTGGCAGGCTTCTTGCTAACTGTTCTTACAGCTTAAATTAATCCATTTCTATAAATCTATACCTTGCCACGTGGCTCGTGGCTTACCGGCATCTTCACATGCTGTTTCTCATCATGGTGGCTGGCAGTGTCTCTCTGACTCAGCCTTCCACTTCCCAGCTTTATTCTCCTTGTCCCACCTACACTTCCTGCTTGGCCACTGGCCAATCAGGGATTTATTTATTGACCAATCAGCAACACATTTGACATACAGAACATCCCACAGCAATCAGGAGCTTGAGAACAGCTAGGGTAGGATAGTGAGAGGAAGGGAAGGAAATGGGGGGTAGAGGAGAGAAGGAAGGATGATAGAGTGCTGGCTTCACATGTTGATGGCCCTGGCTTTGATTTCCAGGACCACAAACACACAGAGAAAGAGGAAGATGGTGTGTTGGAGTGGGAAGAGGAAGGGGGAGGTGTATCATCCCCAAGCACTGGAAGCTAGTAATCTGAATTGAGGTCACCAGTAGGGTCATTTTCTCCCTGAAACATGGAGGGAAGAATGATTTCTGCCTTTCCTACTTCTGTTTTGGGCTAGAAATCCTAAGCATTCCTTGGCTAGTGGGTGCATCATCCCATTCGCTGTTTCAATTGTCACCATCTTATCTCTGTCTCTTTTCCTCTTATAAGGACACCAGCCGTGCTGGATTACAGTCTAAGGACCAGTTTGCTTACACTCACACAGATCCTCTTTCCAAAGAAGGGCACATTCTAAGATCCTGAGAGTGGGACCTGGTATTACTTTGGGTTCTCTAGAGTATGAATCTCTCTCTACATATCTATCTATATATTGTGATCCCAGTGTGGCACTGAGCCTTCCTCAGGCTGAGCTTTTAAGCACAAAAACCATGCTCTGGGTTGACATACTTCAGTTAACAAGAACAGTTAGCCAGAAGTGGAAGTACAAAGGCTAAAATGTACATTTTAGAGACTTTCCCAGAACTATGGACTTGGATGAGTTAGGTCTTTGGTTCTGTTTTGGCAGGTGGTACTGCCTGCATGCTGAGTTTGAGGGACTGTATGGTACTCCCATCATAGAGACAGTTGTGCTAAGGGCTGGGGCCCTGTTACATACTGAGCTACAACTTCAGACCTTGGGTTTTTGAAACAGTCTTTTTATGTAGTTAAGGCTGGTCTTCAACTCACTGTGTAGCTCAGGCTGGCCTCAAATTAATAATCCGTAATCCTTCTGCTTTAGCCTCCTGAGTATGGGCATTCCCAGTGTCTGGGCTTGTCTTTATGATGTGTTCTCTCTAGTTTACTTGTCTGCTTTTCAACCCAAAGGCTATTATGGTGTGAGTTAGGTGGGGGAGAAAGAGGCCAGAAGGTGGGCAGCAATCAGGAGGTGAACAAAGATTACAACTGTCCGGAGAGGGTGGGGGGGTGAGGGGTGGGGGGGGTGAGGTGGGGGGGTGAGGGGAGGGCTCCTAGGCCCTGCTGGAGCCTGGAGCCGTTCAGAGCACAGTCTTATGAGGCTTACGCCGCACAATTTTGTGGACATGGTTGTCTTTGGTTTTGTACCTAGGAAGAAGCTAAAAAGAAGAAAAAGAAGTCTAGGACCACAAAAGACTATCCCAAATCCTGGCTGATCAAGTCCCTCTTCAAAACTTTCTATGTGGTGATCTTGAAATCATTTATATTGAAATTAATCCATGATATTCTTCTGTTTCTGAATCCTCAGATACTGAAGTGAGTGTCCAGGACTTGTTGTCCTGTCTGGCTGCCCCTGCTGCCCTCCCCTGCCCTGTGTCTATGTAGGCAAGAGTGGTCATTGCGTGCCTGTGTTTGAAAAGCACTCCTGTGTTTCTTCCACCTCCCAGCCTTGTGTACACGAAAAGCACAATGCCATTTTCAAGATCTAAGATGACACGTTAGCCCCTCTCTTTTCTGTGTCCCTCTCCTAAGGAGGCCACAGACTCGTTAGACTTCTTTGTTGTCAAACTGAACTAGTATGAACTGAGCCACATTTCAGAGATGGGCAGCATGCTTCAGGAGAGTGAATAAACTCATCTCTTCATAGCCAGCACCTTTTCTAGAGGTACAGGGTGCTCATGATGGGGCTTTGAATCTGCCACTGTATGGACCAGCTAGAGAGCCCTTTGCCTTGTCTGGGCATGAGCTTGCCTTGTCTAAAAATGAATTGACTGTTGCCACGCCCTGTGACAGGGCTGAAACATTACAGTAGCAGGTGTGTGAGAGAGAGAGAGAGACAGAGAGAGAGACAGAGACAGACAGAAAGGGATTTCTCTAAAGATCTATTTTTTTTTTTCATTTTTGGAGTCTCTCTATGTAGCCCAGGCTGACTGACATTAAATTCTTGGTTCTTCTCCCTTAGCCCCTGAGTTCTGGAATTGTATATCTTAGGGTTATTATTATTATTTTGATGAAATACCATGACCAAAAGCAAGTTGGGGACGAAAGAGTTTATTTGGCTCATGCTTCTAATCATACTCCAGCAGTGAAGGAAGTTGAAGCAAGAATTCAAACAGGGCAGGGATGTTGAGGCAGGAGCTGATGCAGAGGCCATCAAGGGGTGCTGCTTACTGGCTTGTTCCCCATGGCTTGCTTTCCTGTAGAACCCAGAACCACCAGCCCAGAGATGATACCACCCACAACAGGCTGGGCCTTCCCCTATCAATCACTAATTAAGAAAAATTCCCAGTCAGGCGTGGTGGCACACGCCTTTAATCCCAGCAGTTGGGAGGCAGAGGCAGGCGGATCTCTGTGAGTTCAAGCCAGCCTCGTCTACAAAGTGAGTTCCAGGATAGCCATGGCTGTCACACAGAGAAGCCCTGTCTCAAAAAGCCAAAAAATAAAAAATAAAAAAATAAATTCATAAGGCCCACCTACACCCTGATCTTATGGAAGCATTTTCTTCATTAAAGTTTGCTCCTGTCAGGTGACTTTAGCTCGTATTGGGGAAAATTTTGGTTGTTTTGTTACCTATAGAGCAAGAGTGAGGCTTTGGCTGTGCATAAGCAGAAGGAGGAGCCCTGGGACCTAATGAGTGAGTGTCACCTGGTTTGGTTTGGTTCCCGCAGATTCCTCATTGCCTTTGTGAGCGATCCTAACTCGTATGCGTGGCTTGGCTATGTCTCTGCGATCCTAATGTTTGCTGTGACGCTCATCCAGTCCTTCTGCCTCCAGTATTATTTTCAGTTGTGTTTCTTATTGGGAATGAGTGTACGGACAACGCTCATGGCTTCGGTATATAAGAAGGTAAGCAATTATGTCACGGATAGCCCAAAAAGAGAAAAGAAAAGAAAAGAATCAAACCAAAGAAAAAAACACTTAATAAATGTGAACATTTATTCCAAGATTGAGGAAACTTTAATAGAAATGAAAATTAATGTCAACACTTAGTTTTGATTAGTTATAAGGTTTCCTTAAGTCCTTCTTTGGAAATTAAAAAAATGAAGTGTGTTCATGCTACTGAGCATCCTGTGGAGAATCTAGCAAGCTGCCCAGGGTCTGCCTTCAGCCCTGAAGGCTCAGACACCATTCTCCTGCCTTTCCCGACCAAATGGAGAGCCTCAGAAAATAAGATAAAGTCGGAGAAGAAGGCGCTGAGGGTCACACTCTCAGAACCATCAACATCTCATTTGTAACCATTTTTGTTTTATTTTCTGTGCGTGGGTGTTTTATCTGTATGCACCTATGTTCACCATATGTGAGGTGAGGTGACGAGGGCATCAGATCCCCTGGAACTGGAGTTACAGACATTTGTGAGCCTCCATATGGATGGTGAGAATTGAACCCACGTCCTTAGGAAGAGCAGCCAGTGCCCTTAACCACTGAGCCATCTCTCTCTCCAGCCCCTGACCATCAGCATTTCATTCAAATACTTACTAGCATGGGTTTAAAGACCTGGTATATTTGTCCCAAATTATAATCTTAACAGTGGATTAAATTGCTGTGTGAGTCATGGCCCCATCACCCAAGAATATATTTTTTCCAGAAACTTATTTTTTGGTTCTTTCTTCTCATTGCGTTTGTTGTTTTGTTTTGGGGATGCTGCTGATCTAACTGAGTGCTACACAAGCGTGCTACCACTGAGCTACATCCCCAGCCTAGCCATCCCCTTTTCTGTCTTAGCAGCTACCAAACCTTCCTCTGCCTATTTATTTACTTACTTATTTCAACTACATTCTCTCATTACTGATCAGGTTCTGCAGGTTTGGGAGATGTTCTATTTGCTTGAGATGGTTTACATTTTTAAATTACATTTATTTGTGTGCATGTGTATGTATGTGTATATGTATGTATATGTGAGTAAATGTGTGTGAGTATGTGTGTAGATGTGGGGGTATGTGTGTGTGCATGTGTGTATAGGCATGTGTGTAGACATGTGTGTGTGTAGGTAGGTGGAGCCGAGAGAACAACTTGCAAGGGCTGGTTCTCTCCTCCCACCATGTGGGTTCTGAGGATCAAGCCCAGGTTGACGGACTTGGTAGCAAGTGTTTTTACCTCCTCAGTCATCTCCCTGGACCTGATATCAATCAAATAAAGCAACCAGGACAGTTATTCAGGACAGGCTCTCTACCTTTTTTAAAATTCTAATTTGTGGCAAGTTGACACTAAAACCAACCAATATATTGCATCTCACACTGTAGTTCAGGATGGCTTAGAACTTAGTATGTAGCCCAGTCTGGCTATTAGCTTCCAGCAATCCTCCTGCCTCAGTCTCCTGAGTGCTGAGATTACAGGTGTAAGCTACTCTAGCCAGTTCTGTAAGGCATAGTAAGGGGCAGAGGTGTGAGTATCAGTCTCCTGATCTCCCTAACGTGAAGGCAGAAAGTCTATATTGTGAGATTCAGGCGTGTAGAACTTGCCTGTGAACAGCAGAGAAAGCACGTTACTTCACATGTGTGACCTCTGCAGCTTTCCTCTCTATTCTGAAAATCCATGTCCTCCTTAATAACGCTTGCACTCTGTAAGACTGTGGCTAAATATAAGTTAGCTATATCAAAAGCCTAAAGGGGGCTGGTGAGGTGACTCAGCAGGTAAAGATGCCTGCCACCAAGCTGATGACTGAGGGACCCTTCCATTACACACACACAATAAATAAATAAAACATAATAAAAACGTTAAGTCTACAAGGCAAGAATCAACAATGCTGACTTACCCCTTCTCTTCTTCCATCTTTAATTTCCTCATTTTCTCCCATTCTCCAGGATTGAATTGTCTGTGATACCATAGTGAAATGGGTAAATGTAGACCTTGTCCTCACAGTTTACATCTGATAAATAAATAGAAAAATAAAATAACTATGATTCTTTATAATTAAGGGAAAGAAAGAGTTAACTACAGAATGGTATCGGGTACACAAAAGAGGTAACTCTTGTAAATTTGAGAGTCTGGGTTGTCATTTCGAAAGTTGCATTTAAGTTGATACCAAGGGATAGATGGGAATTTTCTGGGCAAAGCAGTGTATAGGTGGGTGGGATTTAATGAAAGTGAAAATGAGAGGCACAAGTGGTAGAAATGAGCTAACGCTGCTGTGCTAAGGTTCGGTCCCATAGAGCAGTTATGTCCGTATGGAGCCCATTCTTCTGCTGTTTTCTCATTTCCTGAGGCCCTCCTCTGCTCCCCACTGTCTTCTGTTTTATCTGCTGACCCCCAATCCTAATCTTTATCGTTAGGCACTGAGCCTGTCTAACTTGACCAGGAGGCAGTACACCGTTGGAGAAACAGTGAACTTGATGTCTGTGGATTCCCAGAAGCTAATGGATGTGACCAACTACATACACTTGGTGTGGTCAAGTGTTTTACAAATCGCCTTATCCATCTTCTTCCTGTGGAGAGAGTTGGGACCTTCAGTCTTAGCAGGTGTTGGGGTAATAGTTCTTCTAATCCCAGTGAATGCAGTACTGGCTACCAAGAACAGGAAGATTCAGGTAAAGGGATGGTCACCTGTGTGCATGCACCTCTTTAACATCTAAACTCTGCTATGCTACTAATTCTTAGAGGGAACTTGGGGAGGGAAAAGCTTATGGGAGACTTTCTACCACCCTAAATGTACTTGACTTTTTGTAACTTCCCTTTTGGCCTCCGACCACCCAGAATATAATTTTTCCCCAGCTCTGCTGAGCTTCCTTCAGAAGTGATTTTTAAAACCTTGTTCTCTATCATAGCAAAATAAAGCAACCACACTAGCCATCACCTGGGTAACCCCAACTTTCAGCTTTTGTCCTGACAGTTACTCTGCCATTACCAGGTGGTACCCTCCAAGCAGATGGTCATCCCAGGAATCGCGTATTCATTTAGTAGCAAATATTGTCTTAAAACTCTTGCATGTCTTGCCAAGAGCACAGCAAGAAGTCAGACAAGGATTCTACTCTCATGATACGGTGTTCTGCTTCCAGGGTAGAGACAGACAAAAATAATCAACTCCTGCTGAGAACTACACAGAGAACTGAGTGGAAAGTGGTAGTGGGGGGGTAGGTGTTTTCAATAGGAGGTCAAAGCAGTCCTCTGAGGTGCCGTTAAAGCCGAACTCTGAGTGACATGTCCTGACAATGAAGGTGTGAGCCTTGGGAAGAGCAGGGGAGAACTACCCGGGGATAGAGCACAGTCAGGCAAAGGCTGAAGGAGGGCAGGTAGGACGAGCTTGGCAGCTTCCAGGGTCAGAAAGAGGACAGGGACAGAAGGAACAGAACGGGAAACAGGAAGCGTTGGAGAGAAATCAGTGACATCACTGGGCACCTCAAGTTCTGGTAAAACGGCAGCCACTTCTTCCACTAGGGCCTGCCATTAGCAGCAAACCTGGGCCTTCTCTCATAGTTTTTTGCCTTTCTTTTTCTTGGCAGGTCCAAAATATGAAGTATAAAGACAAGCGGTTAAAAACCATGAATGAGATTCTCAGTGGAATTAAGGTAAAAAAAAAAAAAAAAAAAAAAAAAAAAAGCCAAGCAGAGGAAATCCTCTGGGTGCAGAGACAGAACAAGGGACTGACTCAGCTGCTGAGTGTCACATGACTGCTGATTCCTTTACCCACAAGTTTCTGTTTCCTCTTCCTGCCCCTTCCAGATACTCTTGAACCTTGATTTCTATTTATTTACCCTAAATGATTTGTCTTTACATTTTACTGTAGAAATATTTTAAAATAAATTTTTTATCTAACAATTTTATAAATAACAAAATTTGATTACACTTACACGTGCGCAGCGCGTGTGTGTGTGCACACACACACACACACCATCCCCTCTCTTATCCCCTACTACTCCCTCTGAACCCTTTCTTCTTCTAGACACACACCCCTCTAATTTTCTCTTATTAAAAAATATATAACCCACTGAGTTTAACTAGGATTATTTATATGTATGTGAGTGTAGAGTTATTTACTCAATGATGGAAATTTACCACCGGAAGAAAAATGATTCCCCTCCCCCAGGAGCCATTACCTACCTATAGCTCCTCCCCTACCCGTGGTGAGATGTTGCCAGGCTCAGTCGTAGATCATGACAGCTGTGTGAGTTCATGAGCTCAGTGTCCGTGTCGTGAACAGAAGGCCGTGTTTTGCGGTACCTTCCCATCCTCTGGCTCTGTCGCTGTTCTGGCCCATCTTCATGATGCTCCCTGGGCCTTGGGGTTGAGGGGCAGTGATTTGGAACCACTGTTTAGGGCTGAGCAGCACTCAGTGGTCACTTTTTCTTAGCTTGTTGATTAGTTGTGAGTCTCTGCAGTAACTGCCGCCTCCGGCAAAGAGAAGCTTCACTGGCCGAGGCTGAGAGCAGTGCCAGTGTGTGGGTGTGAGTGTAGCCCTAAGAAGGGCCAGTGTGTGGGTGTGAATGTAGCCCTAAGAAGGGGTTGACATGTCCATTAGCAAAACATCGGTAGTGGGTCCGCTAAGGCATGACCTCCACGGCCATTGGCTTTTTGTTTTTGTTTTGTTTGTTTTAAGAAAATATTTATTTTTATTTCTCTCTCCTTCCCTCTGTTTCTCCCTCCCTCTCCCTCTGTGTGTGTGTCTGTGTCTTGTATGTATGTATGTGTGTGTGGGGGGGGGGGGTGTGGGTGTGTCTGTGTGTGTGTGTGCATGTGATTGCAGGTGCCCATGGAGTCCAGTGGTGTCAGATCCATTGAAACTGTTCTGGTTTCTTCAAGATCAGACATTCTATCACCTCCTTGATCCATTCTGTTAGTGAAACCTTCCACAGAGCTTCTTTCTACCTGTTTTTTTTATTGCCTGAATGGAAACAATACTCTACAAAAGTGGGATGACTAGTTCACCTTGATTTGCTCAGAAATTTCCAAGCTTTAATATGGGAAGTTCTGTGTCTTGGCAAATTTATTTAGAAAGGCAAGCTAGGACAGTTTGTCAAAAAAAAAAATTAAGTGAAGTATGTGTGTGAAATGCTTTACATATAGCATGTTGTCAATAAACACAAGCTACTCTCTATAATCCAGATGTCTAGATTTACCCAAATTTTTGGTAACTTACCCTAAAATAAGGGTAGACCATATGTACTTGGTGCCCTTTCAGGCAATAATGTGAATTTTGCTGTTCTCTGACCCATTAGATCCTGAAGTATTTTGCCTGGGAACCTTCATTCAGAGACCAAGTCCATGGCCTTCGGAAGAAAGAACTCAAGAATTTGCTATTATACGGCCAGCTTCAGACTTTGATGGTATTCTTCTTGCAATTAACGCCAATCCTGGTGAGTAGAAGAGGCGTATGGACTGAGGTCACATTCTGAAAAGGGAAGTCTATTCCTAATAGATTCCAAGCACCTATCGAGTTGATCCCTAGATTCGGGGAATTTATTCCCCTTTCTCAAACTCCTATATCCCTCCAACCCCAACTCTAGTTCTGCCCTTTATGTACTGTTGGGTGATCTGGTAGCCACTAGTGAGGTTTCAGAACGTTCATTATGAATATGGTCTCCAAGAATGACTTGCATAGGAGGACTTGTCTTTATGGGGAAGCAATGTGGGTGTGGTCAAAGAGACAGAAGACCCAAGCTCTGACCTCAGCAAACCATTAATTGACTGTCACCTCGGAAGAGAGAGCTCTTCCTCTAATAGGACCAGTGTTCTTATGGGTAATCTGAAGAGATTGGGATAATCCCTAACATTCCTTCAACTCTTATATACAGTGTTCCTGAAACTTAGCGCAAAGGTGTTTGGACCATTTTAGTAGTGAATTTCTCACGGCCTTACTCTTCCTAGGTGTCTGTGATTACCTTTTCTGTTTACGTCCTGGTGGACAGCAACAACGTCTTGAATGCAGAGAAGGCTTTCACCTCCATCACCCTCTTCAATGTCCTGCGCTTTCCTCTCACCATGCTCCCCATGGTGACCTCTTCGATGCTCCAGGTACAGAAGAGCTTCACTGTTACCCGCTTACTTGCATTGTAGTGCAGATTACTAGCCTGCTGTATCTCATGTCCACCCTCTGGTAATTGTTAAATTAAAAGTTCGTCTAGTTTCTGGAGACCAGTGCATTGATCTTAGTAAAATCACAAGCTCTCTGAGCCCCAGTTTATTTGGCTCTCTTATTAAAATGTGGATAGTCATACTAACCTCATCCACTTTACAGGGAGACAGTCTGACAAAGGCGTTCAGTGCGACTGTTATGATTATGCCTGGCCAGAACCATTTTCCCAGACTAGCTTCTCTCTTGTTTTCCTACAGCTCTTGAGGTATTGACACAGCATTAGGTAAATATGGCATAAAAGAAAAGACCCTGTCTTTGCATGAACCTATGTAGTAATAAGTTTGGGAGCCTCAAGCTAACTTCAGTAAACTTGGGCCTGAGGCAATGTCTTATGCTCTGAAAATTGAACATAGTCACTGAGAACATAGTCGCCATGGACTAGACCTCAAGAGGAAGTCCAGAGGGCAGATGGCAGACTGATGACAGTACCAGAATGTTGGGGTGTGGAGCCAACCTGCATTCGTTTGAGAGGTAGCTGGGTTCAGACACCCCTGGCCATAAGAAGGACTGAGTGCAAAGAGAAGGCCTTCTGTCTTAGAGGGAATAAAGAAAGTGAGGAAACAGCACTCTCTTTTTAGATACAGTTTATTGCATACACAGCAAAAGTAAGATCAGTAAAGGTGCTCACTCCCTTCGGCTCCTTGTCACACAACGTTAACACCAAACCAAAAAGGGACTGATGGTGTTGTAGCATGGGCAGTGGGACATTCTGTTTCTGAGGTGTTGATCCATGAAGCAGCTGGATCCACAGTTGAGGTTTCATATTTCCTCAGAGGCTGGCTATCTGTGAGAAACAATCTCATGACAGCTCTCCTAGAAGATAGGAAGGACAATAAAAAACACCCAAGTGGGTGCCCCTTGGAAACCTCCCAAGTCCTTATGTTCTAGCAGTTTCAGAGTACTCTGCCAGTACTTAGACTAGCTGAAGTTTAATCTTTGGCCAGTTACTCTCTAGAGGATACTGTAGTAGACCAGCTATAATATTGGATGGATGATTCATCACGGCATAGACTCAATCAAATAGGGGCAAGACTGGGCCCTGTTATCAGAAGTAGGTAGAAGTTAGGGTTCTGTCATAGAAGAAGGTGGTAGTTTCTGAAATAAGAGCAAAGTTTGGAGAGAAATTGTCATATAGTTGAAAGCTGAGTCTATGAAGCTGAAATACTCTCTTTATATACTTCTGTCTGAGGTGTGGTGGGATGGCTTGCAGGGCTGAGGTGTGGTGGGTTGGCTTGCAGGGCTGAGGTGTGGTGGGTTGGCTTGCAGGGCTGAGGTGTGGGGGGATGGCTTGCAGGGCTGAGGTGTGGGGGGATGGCTTGCAGGGCTGAGGTGTGGGGGGATGGCTTGCAGGGCTGAGGTGTGGGGGGATGGCTTGCAGGGCTGAGGTGTGGGGGGATGGCTTGCAGGGCTGAGGTGTGGGGGGATGGCTTGCAGGGCTGAGGTGTAGGGGGATGGCTTGCAGGGCTGAGGTGTGGGGGGATGGCTTGCAGGGCTGAGGTGTGGGGGGATGGCTTGCAGGGCTGAGGTGTGGCTGAGTTTACAGCAGTGGTCAAGAGGTTCCATCTACAGCAAAGTCGTGGCTAATAACAAAGTCAGAATCTCTTTCCTGCTTGTGTTTTGTTAGTGAATTCTTTTTCTTCCCCCTAGTTTTATTTCCAGAAGGCCAACTCTTTTTCTTAATGATGTTTTTGTTTATTCTTTGATAATTTCATTCAGTAGATTTTGAGTACATCCTTTTCCTTTCCCCAGCTCCTTCCAGATTCTCGCCTATCTCCTTACCTACCCAACTTCATATTCTTCAAATTTCTCTTTAAAACAAAAACAAAACAAACAAAAAGCCAAAACAAAACAAAAAACAATGTGGGGCAGTGTTTTTAGTCCCAGCACTTAGGAGGCAGAGGCAGGCAGATCTCTGAGTTCAAGGCCAGCCTGATCTGCACAGTGAGTTCCAGGACTGCCGGGACTACACAGAGAAACTCTATCTTAAAAAACCAAACCAAACCAAATGAACCAACAAAACAACAAACAAACAAAAACTCTGGAGTCCAATTTGTGTGGGCTGTGTTACTGAGTGTTTCATTCTTAGAATCTCTGTGTCCGTCCTTCTTCTGTAGGCCAGTGTTTCTGTGGAACGGTTAGAGAAGTACTTGGGAGGGGATGACTTGGACACATCTGCCATTCGCCATGTCCGCAATTCTGGTAAACAAATTTTGAAATTATTTCCACAAGTTATTCATAGTGCTGACACCAGACTACTTATAGGCAGGAGCTTAACCACAGCAACTACTGAAAAGGAAGAGCTAGGGAATCCATCTTAAATTAATTAGGCTTGCGGGGTGGCGGTGGCACACACCTTTAATCCCAGCACTCGGGAGGCAGAGCCAGGTGGATCTCTGTGAGTTCTTCGAGGCCAGCCTGGTCTACAGAGTGAGATCCAGGACAGGAACCAAAACTACACAAAGAAACACTGTCTCCAAAAAAATTGATTAGGCTTGTATAACAAGCAGTGCATACTATGTTCTCACCTAAAGAAAAGTGCTTAGCCAGATTTCAAAGGAAAACACAGTTAGTTATTCTGAGATAAGCAGGGACTCCTGCAAGTGACCCAGAAAACAGAAGTCGGGCTGGAGTAGGGATTGGGAAGGTAGCTTGGGGGTGAAAGAACTCATGGGTTCTGAATCGGAGGCATCCATAGCCAGATGGAACAGTAGACCTGGAGTCCAAAATGGGGAGGGCTTAGATAAGAAAGTAGAACTCACAAAGAGGACTAGGTAACAGAGGGCCAAGGGTGTATGTGTGGAGTGGGGGTGCCAGGGCATCTGGAGGTCCAAAGGAATCTGAGATCAGGTTTGGGTCTCAATAGGCAGGCCACTTCCAGTCTTATCCTGGGAACTTTCCTTGCCTCCTGCTGGTGTAAGCTCAGCACCTAACCGAGGTGGTCTGGACTGATAGAAGAGACAGAGACACTGAGGGAAGGCTGACATGAGGCCTCATGGCCACATGAGGACCTACATGTAACTAAAAGAGGGCTTTTTCTCCACCTCTCAACAGATAAAGCTGTGCAGTTTTCAGACGCCTCTTTTACTTGGGACCGGGACTTGGACGCCACAATCCGGGAGTGAGTGTGTTCCCTTCCTTTATTCTAGCTTTCTTAGGACCCTCCTGCCCTACCTCATTGACAGAAGATCCTGTGCAGAGGAACACCAGAAAAGACTTTATGTTGTATTCACTTGGATGCTGGGTTGGAATATGCCCTGCAGGGATGAGCCGAGAGTAAAGGTCCTGAGCCTTTTCCCATGGTTATATTTTCCATCTGCTTTCATGCTGCGATTCTGTGTCCCTTTAGCTGTAGCTAGAGTTTTCCTGCCTGGCCCACAGTCAGGACAAATCTCTCTCACCTGCCTGTCCCACAGCCGCTCAGACCCAACCAAGTAAACACAGAGACTTACATTGCTTACAAACTGTATGGCCGTGGCAGGCTTCTTGCTAACTTTTCTTTCAGCTTAAATTAATCCATTTCCATTAATCTATACCTTGCCACATGGCTCGTGGCTTACCAGCATCTTCACATGCTGTTCGTCATCATGGCGGCTGGCAGTGTCTCTCTGACTCAGCCTTCCACTTCCCCGCTTTATTCTCCTCCTTGTCCCGCCTATACTTCCTGCCTGGCCACTGGCCAATCAGTGATTTATTTATTGACCAATCAGCAACATATTTGACATACAGAACATCCCACAGCACTAGCTGAGAATCCGTGAAGATATTTGTTCCCCCCAGATAACAGTGGAGAAAGTGCAAGTCCTGAACTTTAGAGTCTAGCTTTTCTCCCCAGACTAGATGATGGGAACTATTGCTATAGATTTCAGAGCTGTGTATGGCAGTACACACTGGCAGTCTTAGCGCCCCGGAGGTTCAAGCAAGAGGATCATGAGTTTGAGACCAGTCTGGGCCATCGGTGAGACTCTGTCTCAGGAAAAAAAGAGGTACTGTAGACTACTCCTGTCCAGCTAGTGCACTGTCGCATGTACAGTGCCTGTTAAGGCCGCCCCATTTTGGACTCCAGATTCTCTGTTCATTATGGCTATGGATGTCTTCCAGTTCATTCAGAACCTGTGTGTTCTTTCACCCCAAACAAAGAACTCCATGACTCCCCATCCTTCTCTCCTATCCTATAGCCTTGAAATGCACTCTGAGGTCGGCACCAGGATTAGTCAGAGCAGAGGCCATTGCTCTAAACCTCCCAGCCAGAGGCTTTCCTTTGTAGAGAGGAAACTGGACATGTTCACTGATGCAGTCCAGAGCAGGTTTGGAAAGACGATGTGTACGGTTCCTGATGTCCCAAGTGCTTTAGGAATTCAGTCAAACCAGTACAAAGATTTCCTGGGATTCTAGCCCAGTGTAGACCTCTCCCCATCCAGAGAAGCCAGGCCTTCAAGGTTAGGTTAGGGTTAGGTAAGAGACTTTTCTGTCAGCGAGTATCACTCATAGAATAAAGAAATCTGAGAAACATTAAGTAACAAGTTTAATTTAGAAGCAAAATCCAACTCAGTCCAGAGGAAGTGACCTTTCAAAATCACCCAACCTATCAATGTCAGAGTTGAGACCTGAACCAAATCAGGTGTCTAGGCTCCTGAGAGGGTGTTGTTCAACCTTTGGTCCTAAGAGAACCCCCCTCCTCAGGAGAACTTTTACTGTTTCAAATGCACCTTTGACACTGGCTGGTTGGATGAGTTTGATAACTAGAATTCATTCTTCAGTATCTTAGAACTTTACAATAATAATGAAGTACTCTAGGGTCTTCTATATCCATGGCAAAATTTCTAGTCTTGAGGGGGGAAATGACCTAAAAACAGATTTCATGTAGAAGTCAGAGAAGTGACTTAAACTACTACCCCCACCCACCCATTTCCTTCAGAAACATTTCTCTCTTTCAGTGTGAACCTGGATATAAAGCCAGGCCAGTTGGTGGCCGTGGTGGGCACTGTAGGCTCTGGGAAGTCCTCTTTGATAGCAGCCATGCTGGGAGAAATGGAAAACGTCCATGGGCACATCACTATCCAGGTGAGTGGAAATGTAGTAGAGAAGACTTCTGACCCCAACATGGGCCTTGGTGCTCTTTCCTCATTTGGGACAGTACACTAGTACACGAGGTCCTGGAGACATCTGGTGTGATCATGGACTATAGATTCTCTGCCTCTCCCATCTTATACAATCAGACTCTGGGTGTAGAACCTGAGAATCTGAAGTTTTAATGAGCTGTCCATGTGACTCCCATATGTTCACCAAATTATTGAAACTGTTGACTAAAGATGTCTTCCTTAACAGTATAGGCATTTTTGCTGTAAATTTCTGTGTGTGTCTGAAAACATCCCCATCTGCAAAATTGTACAATAAAAGTAAAAGGACCTAGGGAAAGGTTTTAATAGGTTACTGAAAGCTTGACTTTGTAGGACTGGAGAGATGGCTCAGCAGTTAAGAGCACTTGCTGCTTTTGCAGGGGACTGGGTTTGATTCCCAGAACCCACAGGGTGGCTCACAACTATAGACGAATTTCTAAACAGTCTTATTAAATAAGAAACACAGAGCCAAATACAGAGGTACAAGCCGTAGAGATCAGAGCAATAGCCGCCAACTAACCTTAGCTCACCACGTCACCATAGCTTCCCAAGAGAGCTTCTTCCTATCTAACCTGAACCTTTATTGCCTTCCTGTTCTGCCTTCTCATTGGCTCGAAGCCCAGCCACATCACTTCCTTGTCACTGCCTGTCTATACAGACCTCCAGGTCTCTATGATTGGTACTGGGATTAAAGGCGTGTGTCACCATGCTTGGCTGTGTCCTTGAACACACAGACACTGCCTGCCATGTGATCGGATTAAGGGCGTGTGCCACCACCACCTGACTTCTGTTTATGGCTCGCTTTGACCTCTGATCTCCAGGCAAACTTTATTTATTAACATACAAATAAAATATCACATTTCAGCACAAATAAAATATCACCACACACAACCATCTGTAACTCCAGTTCAAGGGGATCCAATACTCTCTTCTGGCTCTCTGGACATAAGACATACATGTGGTATACATACACACATGCAGGAAAAACACTTAAACACATAAAATAAAAATAAAATCTTTAATCTTTAAACAACAACAAACTTAACCAGAGTACCAACAATAAACAATAATCAAATCAGTAGTGGCTATAAAATCAACACTGGCATTTGTACCTAACATCATGATTAGTCTTGTGCCCTTACCATCCTCTGTCCCAAGTAATGGGAACTAAACCTTATACAGACCAGGCAAATCCTCTACCCTACATATTCCTGCTGTCTCTTTGCTTCAATCCTCAACCCCCACTCTTTGTGTGTGTGTGTATGTGTGTGTGTGTGTGTGTGTGTGTGTGTGTGTGTGTGTCTGTGTACTTGTGCCACAATGTGCATGTCACAGTCAGAAGATGACCTCAGATGTCTTTGTTGTTGTTTACTATGTATACCCGTTTAGCTGACCTACACATTTCCAGAAGGGATTCTACTGTCTCTGTCTCCCGGTTCCCCTTAGGAGCACTGATATCACAGACACACACTACTGTGTCCAGATTTACTTGGGTTCCTGGGATTAACCATCTCCACCATCCCCTTTTCTTGCTTTTTACTTTGAAATAGGTTGTAGCCTGTCTCAGTGTGTAGCCAAAGCCGGCCTTGCATTTGTGATCTACTGCCTCAGCCTCCTAAATAACTTTTATTACAGGCTTGTATCACAATGCCCAGCTCACCTCTTTCTTTGAGAGCTAGATCTTTAAATATATTCCCTCAAATACAATATTAAGTAAGTATGGTTTGTTGGTTTATTTGTTTGAAAACAGAGGAAAGTGATTTCATGGCATTTTCATCAACTCTCTAAACTTCTCAGAGTTAAATTTACAGGAAATTATAAGCAATTTTCAATTATTAAACCAGCCTATATGGACCACAAAGAACTTTTCAGCCTCTTCTAAAGCTTTCTTTTTATTATGAGAAAGTTTGTGCCTGATGGTTTATATTAACCTGTTTGGAAACATTGAAGAAACATTTCTTCTTCTACAGTATGCTGAGATTACTCCCTTATTTATCAGTCTCCAATGAGTCAATATATATTTTTTAAAAAACATGATCTATATATAGTAGAGACAACTTCAGATTTGACTGTCTCCTAATTCCTTTTGGGAGACGTTTTGTTGCTGACTCACAGCTCAGGTATTTCTCAACACGGGCATTGCTCAGTCTCTATCCCTTTGGTGTGTTAACTTCAGCCACATGGGTTTTCCTTCCTAAGGTGGCATCTATGCCATTTGAAAGTGTTAACATTGTATTAGTTCTAATCAAGTCATTGGATTTAACTAAAACCCTGTTCCTAGTAGCATGTACATTCCTTCTGATTTTCAGAACCAAGGGAAGAAAACGATGGTATAAAAAGCATACAGGGAGGAAGATGGTTTCATGGTAGAGCACTGGGTCTCACTTCCCAGTCAGCACATTAGTAAATACCAGATGCTTAGGGAGCCCATTGTACGGCTCTTCAGAACTAACTCTGCTTGTTCCTTGCCACTCGTGGTTCCATCCCCCATCTCTGTAAGCGTGACTGTCACATGGTTTGATCCTGTCCCGTTTAGGGCACCACAGCCTATGTCCCTCAGCAGTCCTGGATTCAGAATGGGACCATCAAAGACAACATCCTTTTTGGATCAGAATTCAATGAAAAGAAGTACCAGCAAGTTCTTGAAGCTTGTGCTCTCCTCCCAGACTTGGAAATATTGCCTGGAGGAGACATGGCTGAGATTGGAGAGAAGGTACTGGGGGCAAGGCACCTTGAAGGGTGCAGAAATAATTGAGAAAAACAGTGGGGATGGTAGTGAAAAAGTATGTGGACAAATCATGATAGTCACAAACGTGTGTGTACAGCTGCACACTTCATATAAATCATTCCAGTTTTGTTTGGTTTTTTGAGTCATGGTCTAACTGTATAGCCTTGACTAACCTGGAGCTGGCTATGTACTTCAGGCTAGCCTCAAACTCACAGAGATCCACCTGTCTCTGCTACCCAGGTCCTAGGATTAAAGGCGTGAGCTACCAGAACCAGCCTCCAACTTTTTTAACTGTGTACCTGAAAGCAAATACAAGAATTTATAATCTGAATCAAAGGTAATAAGGCAAAGGAACCAAGAGGTTAAGTTTATTATAATGGCCCAGAGTTAACTCATATCAATAAATATCTTTAATAAAAATTGATTTTACCCGGCGTGGTGCCACACACCCTTAATCCCAGCACTCGGGAGGCAGAGGCAGGCGGATCTCTGAGTTCGGGGCCAGCCTGGTCTACAGAGTGAGTTCCAGACAGCCAGGGTTATACAGAGAAACCCTAGTTTGAAAACAACAACAGAAACAACCTATTAAATAAAAAGAAAAAGTTGATTTGAATAAATATATTATATCCATTGGATAGATATACCATAATTTATTTAGAAAATTTTGATTGCTTCATGTTTAAAATATTTTAATCCTTTCTCCAGTTTTAAAAATGAGCATAACAGTCTTCTGGGGGCAAGAATCTTGAGACACTAGGAGACGGGTGAAAAAACAGCTCTAGAGTTATCTTTTCCTGTAAGTCAGAATCCATTGATTGAGCAACTAATAAGGGACAGAAACTCTGCCCTGGTGTTAGCTCTACTTTCTCACAGAGTGGAAAGTGTCAGAAGTATTAAATAAGTAAACTGCATGGTAGAAAATGGTAAGTTGGGCATGACTAATTATTTTGGGCTAAAGTTATTTGTTTGAATAGAAATTACTTATTTACATAAAGAAACATAACATTTGAAAGCCCTTAAAACCTTGTTGAGGCAAATGTCTCTCTTTTCCCCTCCTTATCAGACTGTGCGAACGGGGGACTCGGGCATGTTGCTTAATAGAAATTGTTTTCTTCTTCAGGGTATAAATCTCAGTGGCGGTCAGAAGCAGCGAGTCAGCCTGGCTAGAGCTACCTATCAAAACTCAGACATCTATATTCTGGATGACCCCCTGTCGGCTGTGGATGCTCACGTGGGGAAACACATTTTCAATAAGGTCGTGGGCCCCAATGGCCTGTTGCGTGGCAAGGTGAGAGGTTATTCAATGATAAAGGCGAAGGCCGGGGGTGGGGGAGGTAGAGGCCTGGGGGTGTTACCATACACATCTCTCAGAACAGTATTGTCCTAAAGAAGACTTTATTTATCATCTTCCTGTCAGACTGGTCTCATTAAAGTATGTCTCTTGAAGGCTCCCATTATGAAGTCATGGCCTATCCTGAAATTGGCTAATATGAGGCTTACTCTGTTGTTCTGATATTGAGTCTCTTAGTCTAATTGGGGAAAAATTTAGGCTCGTGGAGATATATATATATATATATATATATATATATATATATATATATATATATATATATTTATATTCTATGGGAAGTTTGTTGAAAAAACAAAAAAGAGCTTTAATGGTAGCCGTCACAAACTGCAGTGGAAACCTCGGAGGAATACCTATAAAGCTATGTCTTACCAAGGAACTTGGAAAAGGAACCAGGGATTTGCTCTGAGTGGAGACATAAAGGACGATATTCCCTAGCTATCTCAGTTGGGAAGACTCTAGATGCCACTGTTGGACTGTGAGGGAGAGGGCAAATACAGTGGCTTAGGTTATCTCTCGGAAGCCCATCACAGCCCCATGTGCTCTAATTCAGCTTCATTGGTGGTTGATCAGCCTTTCTGTGAGTGGAGTTCCTGTGTTAGTGATTGTCTTAGTTAGGGTTCCTATTGCTGTAAAGAGACACCAACACCATGGCAACTCTTACAAAGGAAAACATTTAACTGGGGTGGCTAGCTTACAATTCAGCCCATTATCATCATGGTGGAACATGGCAGCATGCAGGCAGACATGGTGCTGGAGAAGTAGCTGAGAGTCTTTCATCTTGCAGGCAACAGGAAGTGGCCTAGGACACTGGGCATGGCTTGAGCATATATGAGGCCTCAAAGCCTGCCTTTATAATGACACACTTCAACAAGAACACACCTACTCCAACAAAGCCACACCTCCCAATAGTGCCACTCCCTTTGGGGGCCATTTCTTTCAAACCATCACAGTAATCAATATAGGAATACAAGGTATGTCAAGTCTCTACTGCCAGGGATGCCTGGGTAAAAATAATGTTTCTTGTCCTATAGTATCCCTAACTTACTGAAAGATCTGGGCAGTTCTTTTTTGTACAGTTGATTAGCTGGTAAGTGAAAGTCTGGTAAGTGAAAAGAGACCATTAACCAGTTCTCTTTCTGTAAGGATAGGCACGGGTCCTAGGGACTCTCTTAGCTCAGTGTTGTTATTCAGGAACATGGAGGAGAGCATGTGTCCGGTAAACCTCACCGACACTATAGGAAAATAACTGTGAGTAGATCCATGACTCCAGGAGTCTCATTTCACATGTAGGGTAATGTTTAAAGATGAAATGCTGGGAAGAGAACATAGAGTAAAAGGAGCCAGGTAGTAGGCACTGCATTTGGAAGCAACGCCCCAGTGTGAATTGACACATCTGCTTGTCTCTTTACAAAGCCATCCAGGGAAGATGGTGGGCATGGACTCATCAAAATAATTCACTATTATTTTTACAGACTCGAATCTTGGTTACTCATAGCATTCACTTCCTTCCCCAAGTGGATGAGATTGTAGTTCTGGGGAACGGCACCATCTTAGAGAAAGGATCCTATCAGGATCTGCTGAGCAAGAAAGGAGTGTTTGCTAAGAATCTGAAAACATTCATGAAGCATTCAGGGCCAGAAGGAGAGGCCACAGGTATGTGAGCAAGGTTGGAACAGGATGGAACTTGGGGTCCTAGATGGAACCAGTATCTAGACCCTAAACTATTTAGCATCCAGTAAACTACATTAGGAGCATTGTTGGAGCCAACTAGGTTTCCTAGTGGTTATACTCAGCAGGTCTGGATAAAGAGGATAATTGGACCACAAGCCTGAGTATCAGGTGTTTATAAGGGTCTACACTTGGCTGTAACTAGCTAGAGGGAGTTCCTTTGACCCTTTCCTTGGCATTGTTATAAATAGACCTTTGGAATAAAGTTCTGGGCTGGGAGATAAACATTTTCAGAGGTTTAGTCCACTATCATCATGGTGGGACATGGTGGTGTGCAGGCAGACAAGGTGCTGTCACAGGAGCTGAGTCTTACATCTTGACCTTCAGGCAACAGGAAGTGGTCTGTCTCACTGGGTGTAGCTTGAGCATAGGAGACCTTAAAGACCACCCCCACAGTGACACACTTTCTCCAATAAGGCCACTGTAGCTAGAGTTTTCCTGCCTGGCCCACAGTCAGGACAAATCTCTCTCACCCGCCAGTCCCACAGCGGCTCAGACCCAACCAAGTAAACACAGAAACTTATATTGGTTACAAACTGTATGGCCTTGGCAGGCTTCTTGCTAACTGTTCTTACAGCTTAAATTAATCCATTTCCATTAATCTATACCTTGCCACGTGGTTCGTGGCTTACCAGCATCTTCACATGCTGTTTGTCATCGTGGCGGCTGGTAGTGTCTCTCTGACTCAGCCTTCCACTTCCCAGCTTTATTCTCCTCCTTGTCCTGCCTACACTTCCTGCCTAGCCAATGGCCAATCAGTGTTTTATTTATTGACTAATCAGAGCAACACATTTGCCATACGGACCATCCCACAGCAGGCCACACCTACTCCAACAAGGCCACGTCTCCCATTAGTGCCACTCCCTTTGGGGGCCATTTTCTTTTAAGCCACTACAACCCCCTTTGCTTTCTTTCAAATTCCTGGCCTCTTTTTAATTCTTGTTACATATATATATATACATACATATATATATATATATATATATGTGTGTGTATATATATATATTCCTAAATACATAAATAAAGCCTGTCTGCTCTATATAATATACATATATGTCTATAATCTCAGGTCTGACCACTTAGTATTAGATGATTGAATGGGGAGCTGTGGAAGACCGTTTCTCCCATTCTCAGCATTGCCTGTAGTTCTTTGTCTAGAGTTGAGGACCAATATCCATTGGTGGTGGTGGTCATTGGTGGTCATTGGTGGTCAGGTATTATGTAGGCAGCCATGTTCCTGAGACTTCATGGGTGTTTCTGTTCCTCTGGATCTTGCAATCTTTCTACTCCCTCTTCTGCAATAATCCTTGAGCCTTAGTTTCAGGAGTTGTGTTATAGATGTATCAATTGGAATGGGCACCACACAATCTTTTTTGTTCTCTACATTTTGATTGGTTGTGGTTTTCTCTAATGGCCTCCATCTATTATAACAAAGAAAAGCTTCTTTGATAAGGGGTAAGAACTATATTTATCTGTGGGTATAAAGATAAATATTTAGAATGCAGTTAGAGATTATGCTGGTTTAATAAAATTATGGTTGTAGGTTCTCCTGAAAGATCCATGACTTCACTAGCCCCAGGTGGATAGGTTTCCAGTACCCTCTTCTAGTTCCCTCTTATTGAATGGGCCTTAAGGCCAGTAAGAGAGCTGTTGGTGACGGCCAAAGGTGTACAAGCCACTGCTGCACCCTTAGGGTTATCATGCTGTGCTGATCATTGGTGTGTTTCATAGTCATCATAGCTGGGTAGGACTATTGGTTGCTTCCCTCCCTCGTAAGCTCACATGATGCCTTTTGGTGTCATGAAAGCCAGTCTTCAGGCAATTATCCTGGGATGGGGCTCTTGGGGGAGTGCTAAACCCACTTTGTCTCCTGAAGTGGCTGCTTGGCTACTAGTTTTCTTATCTATCATGATTCCTATGATTGGTTTAGGAGCTATATCAGGAGAGAGAGTTGGAAATGGAACACATTAAAATACTGCAAGGTTTTCAATTACCAAGATTCAGTCATTTAAAAAAAAAAAAGAGTTTTGAATTGTAATTGTGGCCAACCTCTGGTTGATTTCAGAGTCTTGACAGAGTTGTGTTTGGCACCTCCTCCCTGCCCCCGCCCCCACCCCCGCCCCCGCCCCTAGCGCTCTCATTATCAAGGAGGAGCAGATTTCTGGAGATCTTTGCTTCACTATTTCCACTGGTGCCCATGCTGTATTTTATATCTTATTTCATTTCATTTTCAAGTCTTTTGTAAGTCTTTCAGTTAATAAAAGTATGTTGAACTACTTGAATTTTAAGATTAGTGTTTATAATTCATATGACTCTCTTTAGTTGATTCCGTGGATGGTGACTGCTGTTTATTCCTGTATCTCTAGAAGGTTTTTCTTCTCCTAAGGAACTCAGAAAGCTCAGGAGGTTTTCTTCTCCTTTAGACCATTCTCTTCCAATGGGTTATTAACCCATCCCTTTTTTAGTCTAGCATTCTCAATGAGAATATGTACTAATAACTGATATTGATGGGGTTAAATATTCTAACCTGTGAATATATCTGAGCTCCCTTGATCAACAAGATACAGGACAGCTTTTCTCTCCTTCTTCATAGTGTTAGGCGTCCTGTGTTATTCCCTAACTTCTAACATGTCTCCTTAGTCAATGATGACAGTGAGGAAGATGATGATGAGTGTGGGCTGATGCCAACTATGGAGGAAATCCCTGAGGATGCAGCTTCCTTGACCATGAAAAGAGAAAACAGCCTTCGCCGAACACTGAGCCGCAGGTAGCCTGTGTATTCTGTTGGCAACTCTTACAGCTTCTTTAGTCCTTCTTGATCTTTCTTTTTTCTGTGTGGACCTTTCCCGAGAGAATCCATCTCATGAACACTCTCAGCTCTTTGTGGTTGGGGTGGGTGGGGGAAGGGCTATGGATGTGGCAGGTCACCTGAGGACACTTTGATGTCGCAGAGTGATTGTGACACCTGCTGTAAGACCTTTGGAAAGTGTCTACATGCTCAGGGTCTTTTGCCTTCTCTACCTCAGCTCCAGGTCCAGTGGCAGGCACAGGAAGTCCCTCAAAAACTCCTTGAAAATTAAGAATGTGAATGCCTTGAAGGAGAAGGAAGAACTAGTAAAAGGACAAAAACTAATTAAGAAGGAATTTGTGGAAACCGGGAAGGTAAACACCACACAGAAAGCTCTGCTTGAAGCGAAAGAGAGCTTGGAACTAAAGGACGTATCTACTGGGGCAACGTGTTCCGTTCCTTTGCAAATCTCCAAATTTATTATTTAAATGAGAACAGAACAAAGGCTTTCTAGATATCATGTCTCAGGGTGGGAGAGACGGCTTAGCAGTCAAGAACATTGGCTGTTCTTCCGAAGGTCCTGAGTTCAGTTCCAAGCACCCACATGGCAGCTCACAATCTGATGCTCTCTTGTGTGCCAGCATACATCCAGAGAAAGCACCTGTATACATAAAGAATAAATCTTTAGAAGGAAGGGGGAGGAAGGAAGGAGGAAGAAATAAAGAGAGAGAAAGAAAGAGAGAGAGAGAGAGAGAGAGAGAGAGAGAGAGAGAGAGAGAGAGAGAGAGAGAGAAAGAAAGCCATCTCTATGAAGGATGAATGTCTGATTCTACTCTGATGTGTGGAAAACAATGAAACTGCTTTGAAGGGCAACTGTAGGCACTAGGAGGCACTAATATATCAAACCCAAGCACACAACTCAAATTAATGAAACTCAAAACCACAAATCCCAAGGTCTTAGTAAATTCTGGCCTTTCTCAGTCTGTTTTATGCATTTTGTTCATCACATTTAAATGCTTATTAATAATCTGGTGACTGTTTACCTTGTGTTGTACTTAGCATTGACATATTCTGGCCAAGTGCAGAAAGGGTGATCACAGACTATTAAATTTTGCCACCCACTTTTCCAGAAGATGCTACTTCTTGACTGAGTTAGCCAAAACACCATAACCAAAAGCAACTTGTGGGGGAAAGGGTTCATTTTATCTTGCACTCCCAGGTAATAGTCCATCACTGAGGGAAGTCAAGGCAGGAACTCAAGAAGGGGAGAAATCTGGAGGCAGGAACTCAAGCAGAAGCCATGGAGGAAGTTTGCTGACTGGCTTGTGCTTCATGGCTTGCTCAGTCTGCTTTCTTATAGCACTCAGCACTATCAGCCCAGGGGTAGCACCACCCACAATGACCTGAGCCCTCCTACATCAATGGTCAACCAAAAAAAAAAAAAATACACAAGCTCCTCTGCAGGCCAATCTGGTAGGGGCATTTTCTCAATTGAGGTTCCCCTTTCCAGAATGATTCTAGCTCTATGTCTAGTAAAAAAAAAAAGAAGACAAACAAACAAACAACAACAACAACAACAAAAACTAGCCAGCAGAGTCCTCCTTATGGTTAGTTTTCTATAATTTCTTGCCCAAAGACCTGAGGGGTATTGATTCGGTCTTTGCAGGTAAAGTTCTCCATCTACCTGAAATATCTACAATCAATAGGATGGTGTTCAATAGCCTTCATCATCTTTTCCTATGCATTAAATTCTGTTGCTTTTATTGGATCTAATCTCTGGCTGAGTGCTTGGACCAGTGACTCTCAAAACTTCAATGGCACCGACTACCCAGCTTCTCAGAGAGACATGAGAATTGGCGTCTTTGGAGCTCTGGGATTGGCACAAGGTATGTCTATCTGATGGCTAGGATAGACCTCTTTATGGACCTTGTACATTTCCTACAACTGAGACAAGAATTTGCTCTTGTCTCCTAGGCACGTGTCTTCAGGGGTCTGTGACATGGGGCTGACGACACTGGTTCTCTTTCTAGGTATCTTTGTGCTTTCGGCGACTATCTGGAGTGTGTACGCTTGCAACCATTCATCAAAAACTTTGCACAAGCAACTCTTAACCAACATCCTTCGAGCACCCATGAGTTTTTTTGACACAACTCCCACAGGCCGGATTGTGAACAGATTTGCTGGTGTAAGTATCTCAACACCCTGGGTGCTTAGATGCTGAGGGTCTTTCTGATTTTGATAAGAGAGTCCTCACCCAACCCAACTCTGCAGTTTGGGCTCTTTGTCTACTTAGCATGCAAATATTTCTGGGGTACTTCCTGTGAGGTCTCAAGAATCCTAGAGGTGAACATCTCTGGCCTTTCAGGAGCTCACCATCTAGTTTGTTGTTGTTGTTTGAGACAGGGTCTCTCTGTGTAACAGTCCTACCTGTCCTGGATCTTGCTCTGTAGACCAAGCTGACCTCAAACTCACAGAGATCCTCCTGTCTCTGCCTCCCGAGTGCTGGGATTAAAGGTGTGTGCCACCACCGCCTGGCAGCTCACCATTTAGTGAAGGAGAAATCAAAGAAAAGAAGGATCATGATATGTCTAAAAAGAGCAATAGCATGTATGGAGATGTTCTGGGGGTACAAAGGAATGACAGAAACAGAGTACTAATTCAACCTGGATGGCCAGGATGGGAAATGTCAGAAAAGGTGAGACTTGAGTTAAATCACTAAAGTAAGAGAAATGGGATGGTAGTGGGGGAGGGGTGGGCAGTAGAAGCAGGGTGAGGAGGATTATTCTACCAAAAAGCATATGTAAAAACATATTCGCTGCTCTTAACAGTTAATGAAAGGAACTGCAGGAAAGATCTTTCCTTAACCTGTCTCCATTCCTACAACTTCTGCCTGTGGTGCTTTGAGAAGCACTGAGATGGGTCTGAGTTTTGGACTGGGACATCTGTGTGGTAAAGGTCTTCAAACATTGTTTCCATCTGCGGAGGCTCTGGGACCACATGCATTCGATCATTCATTTCCTACCATCAGTCGAGTACTTTCAGTGAGCCTAGTACCATTAGATGGGAAGATGGCTCCTTCCATGGGCTAGACCTCATTCACTGGTTATTTTAAATGCATCAGAAATGGAAGTTTCGGGAATAGAGGCAGAAGCCAGGCAATTCTGAGTGATTCTGAATTCTGTCAGCAAAGCTTTCAGCTCTCTGCTTATGGAGGAAAAACGAATTTTATAAGCTATACAAATAGCTCTGGGTGATTGTTTGATCTTGCATCAGATATATACAGGGTGCATCATCGCCTACAGTGAGGATCTGGGGACAGCGCAATTGCTTTGAAAGTAGACAGGTAACCGTTCCCATTTCTCCTCTTCCTAAAGGGTAGAAATAATGAACATGTCATTGGAGACCACTTACATAGGCTGTCTGCTAGTTAGTTGAAAGTATAGAATGCATACTTTTGGATTAAGATATTTCTCAGAAGAGGGGCTGGAGAGATGGCTCAGAAGTTAAGAGCACTGGCTGCTCTTCCAAAGGTCCTGAGTTCAATTCCCAGCAACCACATGTTGGCTCACAACCATCTGTAATGAGATCTGGTGCCCTCTTCTGGCCTGCAGGGATACAGGCAGACAGAGCACTGTATACATAATTAATAAATAAAATTGTTAAAAAAAAAGATATTTCTCAGAAGAATTTTATAAACGTTGTAGTCTTTCTAATGTCATTATACGTATGGTCCATCTTCTGGGAAAGGACACAGAGGTCTTCTTGGGAGTTAGTTGGGCTACAATCAGACTTGCTGACTGCTTCTACATGGAAGATAAAACTCATAATCATTTGTAAATTTTGTTGGAGAGGTGGCTCATGCCTATGAGGAAGTTTGGTGTGGGGTCTTCTAGAAATGTGACTGAGTCCTTAAGAGAAGAGAGAGTAGATGAGGGGAAAAAAGGTGTGCTAGGTAGGGATCAAAAGTAATCTTCACAGAACTGACAGCTAGTGAGCATTTGGTTTTCCTGCCAGCCCTGGGTGTAGTTCACATCTGCATGTTGATGTAACTTGGGAGAGGTAGATTAGACTCAGAAATCATGCTCAATTCAGAACTCTTCTGGGAGGCATCCTTGGCAAAATTTGGGGAATTTCTGAAATAATTTGGACTTGTCTTAGTGCTCACATATTTCTAACATATAGAATTAACATAATCCTCCAGGAAGGTTGGGTGGGCAAGGGCAACCCAAGATATAAGCTAGGCTTTCTGAGAGTGCTCCAAATCATCCACCCATCTGTTAATTTTCCCAATTTATTTCACATGACATAAGACAGTGTGGCAGTTAAACCCATCTTTCATCTTGAGTTCCTTGGTTGGGACAATGACAAGACAGGAGACACATTTAGTCCCTTTTTCATCTCCCCTTGAAACAACTTCCCAGTACATGATGGTTCCTTAAGTAACGGTGGAGACAAAGCTTGGGGGCCAGAGTTTAACTAACTGTATTCAAGGCCTGTTAATGTGCTGGACTCTCTCCTGGGCATTTACTAGAACCACAAGCTGTAACGAGTTGGTTTGGTTATGGGGGTTTCTCTGAATAGCTCTAGTAGTTTACAATGCATGGTTTAATGAAGATGAAGGAGAAGAGTGAAAATCCACCAAATCTACTGAAAAAGCTGAAGACTATTGCCACATATATTTGGAAGAATTGGAAAGATAAGGAATTCACAGAAATGTGATTAATTATTGGGCTGATCAGTATAATCTATTACAAGTGGATGGCTTGAGGAGGTTAAATGACAAAGGCCTAAATAACAACAACAACCAAAGTCACACATTCCAGGCTGGAAGCAGGAAGATGAGCCATGTCTTAGGAGTCCATTGGTTCACCTTCTCTCCTTCAATCACCAGGACATTTCTACTGTGGATGACATACTCCCCCAGACTCTGCGAAGCTGGGTTATGTGCTTTCTGGGCATAATTAGCACTCTGGTGATGATCTGCATGCCCACTCCGATCTTCGCTGTCATCATCATTCCTCTTGGCATTATTTATGTGTCTGTTCAGGTAAGTCTGGATATGGTTAGGTCTCCCTTCCTCTCTGCTTTTGAGATCTCTGAGACTCTTCTTTTGTGTTTACTCTTGGTCACTCTTCTCCAACATCCTTGCTATGCCCAGGAAAGCACAGGGACTATCCAAAGCTCAATTGTCAGTATCAGTTGGTGTGTGGGTCACAGCATATGTCACTCCAGAGAGCGTGAGTAGAAGACGTGTTTGGATTCAAGACCGTTTTGAGGGGTAGGAATATAGCTCAGTGGCAGAGCACTTGCCTAGCACTGAGAGGAAGGAGGGAAGGAGAAAGTGGGGGAGGGGGATGGGTTCAGGAGATGGGAGAGGGAGGGAGGGAGAGGGAGCGGGAGGGAGAGGGAGAGAGGGAGAGAGGGAGAGGGAGAGATTACTCTGTAAATGTTCACAGTTCCATAAGGTCCCCTGTCTTAGGGTTGTACTGCTGTGATAAACACCATGACCAAAACAACTTGGGGAGGAAAGAGTTTATTTCAGCTTACAATTCCCAGGTCACATCCATCACACTGAGGGAAGTCAGGACAGGAAATAAAACAAATGGGGCAGGAACCTGGAGGAGGGGACTGAAGCAGCCCTTCTAGCTTGTTCCTGGAGGCTTGCCCAGCTGCTTTCTTAGACGTCGAGGACCACCCGCTTAGGAGTGGTGCCAGCCACAGTAGGTAGGGCCCTTCTGCATCAATCATAAATCAGGAAAATGCCCTACTGACTTGCCCACAGGGTAATCTTATGGAGGCGTTTTCACAATTAAGATTCCCTCTTCCCAGATATGTTTGGGTTTGTGTCAAGTTGACAAAAAACAACCAGCACCCCACAAGAAAAACAACCAAAACACCCCCACATGAAAAACCAAACAACCACCACACCTGCACAAGGGTTAGGTCATTTCCAGAGAATGCATGGGGCTGCTGCTGCTTTTGTCTTTGAAAGGGATAACTCCCTGGGGATGTCCCTATGCAGGGGTTGGATCTCTTCACTTTAAGGCATATCTAGTTTCATTGACAAGTCTGTGAGTGTTTTAAGTTTAAACTCAACAGTCTTCCCAGAAGATTGGAATAAGTAGAAGGCTCCTCATGCCCACAATAAAAATTGATGAGAAAAAGGAAGCTATAAAGAGAATGCTTTCCTGCAAGTTGCCTTTATTCTTTAAAATAAAATCATTTTATTTGGTGTGTGTGTGTGTGTGTGTGTGTGTGTGTGTGTGTGTGTGTGTGTGTGTAAGGATGATAAATGGCGCTGGTGGTGGCACTAGTTACTGGCGGAAAAGTCACGAGCCACAGCCACAACTACCTAGTTACAGAGAGCTTTATTGGGAGGAAGAGGGGAGAGGAGAGAGGAGAGCCAGGCCTGGAGAGAGAGAAAAATGGTGGGGTGAGGGGAGAGGGGAACAGAGCAGAGAGAGCAGAGGGAGCATGGGGGCTGCATCTGGCTTTTAAGGCGTAGATTGTGTGACTACACCGCGCACACATAGTCATCAACACCCACTGATGACGTAAGATGCAAGACCGGAGCTGCGCATGTGCAGTCATGTAGCTGGAGTGAGGGCAGAATTCTAAGAGTGTGTCCAAGTGCACAGCACATGTGTGGAAGTCAGATGGCAGCTCTGAGGAGTCAGTTTTCTTCTTCCTTTTATGTGAATTCTGGGGATTAAACTCTGGTTGTCAAGTTTGCATGAGAAGAGCCTTTACCTGCTGAGCCTCTCACCAGCCCCCAGTTGCCTTTGTGATAACCCTAGAGGAACTCTGCAGTATGGTTGTATGGCCTTGTACCTGTGGTAAGAGAGTACCTCTTGTGCCTGGGTAGAGTTTTGCAGGTACACTTCCATGTCTACAGCAGCCTTTTAACTCTTCATAACAAATCAACAAGTAAGGCGGGGTTATGTGAAGAAACTCGGAGACATAGTATTTTGCACTCTGATTCTCAAATGCTCTGCTTTTCCTTACACTTCAGCAAGTTCTTGCAGCTTCCATTAGCGCCATGAACCTGTTCACCATTCCTGTCATCGTGATTTGCCTACATTCTCTTACAACCAGTCCAGTTCTTACACCCTCAACATTCTGCATACCTTCGGGACTGTCTTTAACAGCACACCATGGAGGCACAGTTTTGGTCACTCCAGTGGTCAATCTCCATTTTAATTCAAACTTCAGCATTCTCTACTATTTTTAAGAGTTTTATTTATCTTATTTTATGTGGATGCATGTTTTGCCTGAATTGTATGCATGTACACCAGCTGTATGTCTGGTGCCCACAGAACTGGAGTTACAGATGGTTGTGAAACACCATATGGGTGCTAGGAACCGAACCCAGGACCTCTGCAAAAAACGACAAGTTTTCTTAACTACTGAGCCATCTCTTCCCTACCTTATATACTCATTGGGTCCCAGCATCTTTTACAAAATCATCTTGGTGACCATTTCTGTAGCCAGTACAGAAACTTCCATATGGGTAACATATGATGGTCTAAGGAGAGAGATGGGTCTGACTGCAAAGCTCCTCCTGAGGGTTAGAAACTCAAATCGTCTCTCCCTGTTCCCCACCACTATAGTCTTCTTACTGTTCTCTTCCTTGTACCTCATCATTCTTCTAGCCAGACACAGTATTTCGGGCCTCTTTCCTGTTTGGATGTGAGCCATAGACATCAAGTAGCAAATGTTGGGTCATGGACAGAAAAAAAGAAGTACAGTGTATGCTTGATGGCTGTGTGACCAGCTGACTCTTGGTTTTTGTGTTCAGATGTTTTACGTGGCTACTTCCCGCCAGCTGAGACGGCTGGATTCTGTCACCAGATCCCCAATCTATTCTCACTTCAGTGAGACAGTTTCAGGCTTGCCTGTTATCCGTGCCTTTGAGCACCAGCAGCGATTTCTAACATGCAGTGAGGGACGGATTGATACCAACCAGAAATGTGTCTTTTCCTGGATTACCTCCAACAGGTGAGGCCCCCCTTAAGTATTTACTCAAAGGTATGTTTCAGGGTTCTGCGTGTTTGACATTTGGCATGGGAGGGCAGGCATAGCCAGTGGTATAAAATTCATTCTGAACACACACACACACACACACACACACACACACACACACACACACACCCCTGTCATGCAATTTAAGTAGAAAGAAGGGAGTATGGGCTTTGGAGTTGGAGACAGGTTCTCCATCCCAAGTTTCTGTTGACCAAGCTTGGCCTCTGTAAGAAAAATATCAATGTTTTTATTTTTCAGTGGTTAGAATACAATGTGTCTTACAGTTATGGTGAAAGTTATGTGACATTTGTGACTATTTGGAAACTCAAGTAGCAGACACATGCTAGGTAAATTGAACAATATCTGTTTGGTTTCCTGAGACTTGAGATGAGATTCTCCATAGGCATGGGATTCTTTTTAGGGTGACAGAAGAAACAGAGGTTGGAGTGAGGAGAGTTAGGAATTTTTAAGTAAAAACATAGATGACAAGAAATGAAAAGGTCACCTGAGTAATGTAGGTGGAACTTTCCTGCCACGGACTGGCCCATCGGGGGTACCACGACCGTAGGGGGACCAGAGCTTGGGTAGTCAGGAAGGCAAGGATTCGGCGACTGACAGACAGACAACACACTCAGAAGTGGTTTGAATCTGCTGCACTTTTACTTCTGCAAATCAGTAGTTTATATACAGAAAAGAAAACTATCAAGTCATACAAGGAGCAACAAGAGCTTGGCAATAGTTCAATTACATCATCTTTTAAAAACAGCAAGCACACAATTATTAATCGGCGCTAGACATATCCCTTTACCCACAAGAACTTTATGACCCAAAGAGCGGTCTGTGTTTTTTAAACTTAGTACAGTCCCTAGACTTGTGGAGGCTTCTTTGCGGCTGCAGCTGTGTCCTTCATCTTTATCTCAGCCGCTCGCTAGTTTATTATGCACTTCTACTTTCCTGGTTCTCATGACCCACTTAGCCAATTTGGATGCTGCAGATCCTCCCTAAGTCTTTCTTCAGTTCTTCCACCACATATCTCTTTACTATAAAACCTTTTTACCTGCTGAAATATGGACTCTTATACTTTTACGCCTGTAAGGGGAAGGGGTTCTGCTGTAGTCCTTAAATTTCCCGTATTGAACTTCCTCAATGGAGGGGCCCACCATCTGCCTCCTATGAGATAAGGTTTTCTGTCATAAATCACTTTAGTTGGGATTCCTAAAGGATTCCTAGTGGGTGAGTGTCCATTCCCTAGAAGTGCCTGAACTGTTACACTTTCTATTATCTAGCGGCTTGGGATCTTTAAGGAATAGCTCATTCTGCTGTATCTAAATAAGGTCCATGTCCAGCTTCCCCTTTCCTCCATAGTTCACAACCCAAGCATTCATTAATTTTGGCTGTGTTTTATAGATGAATTAGAACATTATCAGAAAAGCAGTTATACAGAACCCATAGCCCAGAGAGCTCATGATCTGTGAAGCACATCTCCTTCAAGAAGGAGGCATAACACGGGCACTCTGCCAGGGACCTCCAGGGAGCTTAGTCCCATGGGACACATATCTCCCGTCTGCTATTATTGACATAATTGTTTATGTCACATGGATGAAACTGGAGTTGGTGTGGCATTTTCCCATACTGGGAGCCACTTCCAAATTACCACACAGAGGCTTATATTAATAGTAAATGCTTGACTGATAGCTCAGGCTTATTACTAGCTAACTCTTACACTTAAATTAACCCATATTTCTATTTATGCTTTGTCATGTGGCTCGTGGCTTGTTACCTCATTTTTTACACATCCTGCTTGCTCAGCAGCTGGCTGGCATCTTCTAAGACTCCCCTGACTCCACCCCTCTTCTCCCCATCATTCTCAGTTTGGCTCTCCCACCTAACTTTATCCTGTTCATACTGGCCAGTCAGTTTGTTTATTAAACCAACCACAGTGGCATATCTTCACATAGTGTAAAGGAATATTCCACAGCAGAGTAGACTAGGAATCAGTAGACCATGGCAAGCAGTTAGGTATGTCATTAAAAGAGAAAGATTTGGGGGAGCGAAAATTCTTCAGTGGCTTTCAGAATACCTTGAGATGTTAAGGGCAGGCTAGTGGTGATCAGTAATTTGGAACACTGGTTTCAATTCTTAGAGACTTTCCAAGAAGGAAAGGCTTATGAGTAAAACCATTGGGTTCTTACTGTAATGTCTGCTAGAATTTAATTAAATATATTTTATTTGAGAAAGTTAACTTTTCTAAAGATTTATTTATTTATTATGTATAGTGTTCTGCCTGTGTGTATGCCTGCACACCAGAAGAGGGCACCTGATCTCATTATGGATGGTTGTGAGCCATGTGGGTGCTGGGAATTGAACTCACAATTCAATTCTGGAAGAGCAGCCAGTGCTCTTAACTGCTGAGTCATCTCTTCAGCTCGAGAAAGTTGACTTTTATGAATGATGTTAAACTATGTATTCCTTGTTCCCCCACACAGCCCAGTTCATCTCCCTGTAACCGATCCACACCTAACTGGTTTCTACTCCCAGTTTTTTTCCACTGCAAAGCAATATTATGACAGTGCAGTGGTGCCAGGGTCTCAGCTCTCCGGGTGGATTCACACTCCAGTGCTTCCTTATGGTTTCAGAAGAAATCACCAGTCATTTAAAATGCAGCTGCTTGCCAGTCTGCTGGCACATGACTTTAACCTCAGCAGAGGCAAGCAGATCTCTTAGAGGCTAACCTGGTCTATACAGCAAGCTCCAGGCCAGTCAAAGGCTCCATAGTGAGACCCTGTGTCAAAGAAATGTAAACACAACTCATATGTGGTCCTTGTATCAAAATCTCCTCCAAAATGCCTAAGAATGTTTGAGATTAATTTGTATGTTATATTTTCAGCACTTACCCTATGTAATTTTTATAACTTGGGACTTTGGGAAATATTGCATTGTAAGATTCCTTTAGTTTAGAAAACTCTTCTAGAACCTTTAAAATGCTACTCATTTCCCTCAAAAAATCAATTTAATGAGTTATTAAGAATTTAAGTATTTCTAAATCAAATTGAGGTAGCTCCTAAGAGCACAGTGTACCAGCTCAAGCCCTCTAAAAATGTTTTGCAGGCTCCCAAGTCCCTTGTTCAGATGAGGGAGTAGAGACTAATGACATCTCTCTTTCTGGTCTTGTTGCCCTGCAGGTGGCTTGCAGTTCGTCTGGAGCTGGTTGGAAACTTGATTGTCTTCTGTTCAGCCTTGCTTCTGGTTATTTATAAAAATTCCTTAACTGGGGACACTGTGGGCTTCGTTCTGTCCAATGCCCTCAATGTGAGTCTGAACACTAGGCTAAGTCAATTAATCTTTTGTTGTTTTGTGATGTTTTAAGATGGGGTTTCTCTGTGTAGCCCTGGCTAACTTGGAAATCACTCTGTAGACCTGGCTGGCCTCGAACTGAGAGATCCACCTGCCTCTGCCTCTAAGTGCTGGACTAAAAGTGTGAGCCACCACCACCCAGCAAGTCAATTAATTTTAAACTGAGTCTGAAGTATACTGAGGAGCCCATGTCCAATCCAAAAGGACTAGGAAGACTGAGTGCAAAGCCTGGCCCCACATCTTTGCACACAAATACAACCCTTATCTCATTTAAGTAGGCGCCAGTGCCATCTGGCAAAATGGGCATAACTCATACTGTTCTAATGACTCAAAAAGACAATTTTATATGTTTCTACTTAATGGTTTCTTATATTCTGCCTTCTTCATTGGTTCTAGTCAACAGAGATTATATATTCCTTCTCCAGGATATTAGGGTAATCAGAAAATCCTTTGGACGAACACCTTCCGAGTTTGCTTTTCTTACATCACAGAAGAAGTCAAACAAATTATAATAAGGAATGTGACAGAAACATATAATGAATCTCACTGCAGCACCCCAGCACAACTGGGGGATACATGCTGACGTCATTATTTCCCAGCATCCTAGGCAGTGCTAGCACCACAGCAGCTATTCAGGACATTTGGTCATCTCACTGTGCAGTTTTTCCGACTACTGTGCCAGAGGTTTGCATGGCCATCGTGTGCTTTATATAGTGCTGTCTTCATTAGAATTAATGAGGTTCATGATAGGGCACCCCAAAAGAGTGTCGTTCTCCAGAGTCACTTGGTTCTTTGTGCCGTTTCCCTTTATCTTCCAGGACAGTCAAGGCAGAGTCAGGACACCACTGGAGTGAACTAAAATTCAATAGTCAAATATCAGCAGTTACATGTGGTTCGAGCCATACAAAGTTGTTACTCTTAGTCACCACAGTCCTATCCTGTATCGTGCGCCTTCCTCTCTCTGACTTCCCTTCACTCCACAAAACTCCTGTGCAGATGTGCAAACTCCTGATTCCTTTCCTGAAGGAAGCTCCGACCTGAGTAATCCTTGAACTGTACTGGCCTGCGCCGTGACAGATCTTTATTAGATCTTTATTAATTGGATACATTGGTGTGGTAGCAGGGAGACATCCAGAGTTTGTTTGCGTAAAGGAGGATAAGGGTCCATATGGCTATCCCACCTTGATGGCTAAGAGTGGGTGAGATCAGGGAGGGAAGGCAGCCTTTTTGAAAGTCTGTTAATGCCCTGAGTCTCTTCTCGGGGTATCCGCCATTTGCAGAGTCCTACATACAACAATTCACAAATAGCATTAGGGTGGGAGACCTGAGCTCTGGTTCCACTTCGCCAGAGCCAGCCTTTTCAACCTGAACTTTGCCCTGAACTATTCAAAGTCCATGTTGCCCTTCATGTGAGCACCACACAGTTAAGCATCCAATTGTTACCCATTCAACCAGTGCACTGGTCTTATTTCTTGGCTAAGAAAATAAGAATTAAATAAGAATTATCTTTTTATACTACCAATCCTGAACCGAAAGTAACCACTCCGTTAACCTTGTGCTACAACTAATTAATTGAGCTGGTTTCTGAGCCTGAGGTTTTTGGGTTTTTTTTTTAATTGTTTTTGGGGTGTGTGTGTGTGTGTGTGTGTGTGTGTGTGTGTGTGTGTGTTTGTTTGTTATAATTTTCTTTTCCTCTATAGATCACACAAACCCTGAACTGGCTGGTAAGGATGACGTCAGAAGCAGAGACCAACATTGTGGCTGTTGAGCGAATAAATGAATACATGCATGTGGAAAATGAGGTGAGAATTGGTGAAACTCAGGAGGAGATCCATGAAATCATTTTGAGAGGACATCTTCGTTTTGTTTTTTTTTTTTTTTTTTTTTTTTGGTTTTTCGAGACAGGGTTTCTCTGTGTAGCTTTGCGCCTTTCCTGGGACTCGCTTGGTAGCCCAGGCTGGCCTCGAACTCACAGAGATCCGCCTGTCTCTGCCTCCCGAGTGCTGGGATTAAAGGCGTGTGCCACCACCGCCCGGCGACATCTTCGTTTTTAAAAACTATCTTGAGTAGGTTAATCATGTTCCCCCTTTTTTTTTTTAAAGATTATTTACTATGTATACAGTGTTCTGTGTGCATGTATACCTGCAGGCCAGAAGAGGGCATCAGATCTCATTACAGATGGTTGTGAGCCACCATGTAGTTGCTGGGAATTGAACTCAGGACCTCTGGAAGAGCAGCCAGTGCCCTTAACCTCTGAGTCATCTCTCCAGCCCCATCATGTCTAAGTCTCCCTTGCTCTAACTCAAAGGACTTAATTTCCTCAAACTTAAGACTAGGAGATGGTTTAATGAATGGTGGTGTCATTCTGGAAATCCATAGAGCCACCTTGTAGGATAGCATTTCTTTATTGATTAAAGTTAGAAACCTCTGGAAGAGAAAAGCCCAGCTCACTCAGTTAAGGGCCTGCTACCCTGCTGTCATGGGAGTGCTGGCTGAGTTACTACCGCACCCATCACTCCTCATCCTTTTGCCTTGCTAGGCACCCTGGGTGACAGATAAGAGGCCTCCAGCAGACTGGCCCAGCAAAGGTGAGATCCAGTTTAACAACTATCAAGTCCGATATCGGCCTGAGCTGGATCTGGTCCTGAGAGGGATCACTTGCCACATCAAGAGCACCGAGAAGGTGGGTGATAAAGAGTTCTGGAGACAGTTCTGGCTGTGAGGCCTTGTGACCAGAGAATGTCTGGCACGGAAGGAGGACACAAGGTCTCCATCATTTGGGTGCAGGGAGAGGATTAGGGTACTTACTGTAGTCTGGGAACATGTAAGGAATACAGCCAGAGGGCTGGATCCTGCCTCCCTGCTAGCCCACCCTGTGAGGAGATACTGTGTGTGAAGAACTCAGGAAAGAGATGGGGAGCATCAGGCTTGGAGGGGGAACTGTTGAGAATCATAGTGTCCCTAGGAAGGAAATGACCTTGTGTTTCTTCTGGTCTGTGAAGTGGAGTACTGTAGGTAGAGTTTTCCTGCCTGGCCCACAGTCAGGACAAATCTCTCTCACCCGCCAGTCCCACAGCCGCTCAGACCCGACCAAGTAAACACAGAGACTTATATTGGTTACAAATTGTATGGCCGTGGCAGGCTTCTTGCTAACTGTTCTTACAGCTTAAATTAATCCATTTCCATTAATCTATACCTTGCCACATGGCTCGTGGCTTACCGGCATCTTCACATGCTGTTTCTCATCATGGCGGCTGGCAGTGTCTCTCCGACTCAGCCTTCCACTTCCCAGATTTATTCTCCTCCTTGTCCCGCCTATACTTCCTGCCTAGCCAATGGCCAATCAGTGTTTTATTTTTTGACTAATTAGCAACACATTTGCCATACAGAACATCCCACAACAGAGTACCCTCCTGTAGAGGTCTTGTCCTCCGAGGTTTGGGGTCTGAGGTAGACAGATCAATCCACCAATCAACCAATCCAGGCAAGCAGGCTGAGGACCAGGTTTCTCACCTGGTGACAAACTTTTCCTTCTTTCTGCTAAAAAACAAACCAAACCAAACAAGTTCCCCCTTCAGCAGCACATATACTAAACTTGGAGCAGCACAGAAGAGATTAGCATGGCCCCTGAGCAGGGAGGACACAAAAATCTGTGATGTATTCCATGGTTTTGAACTACAGGCCGCTAAGGAAGGATGAGAATGGGAGGAATGGTCTTCCCCAGGGAAGAGCACACCAAAGGGTTATCCAATACCAAATGGTCAGCTCGGAAAATATACACACACGAGTAACATTATACAGACAGGGCAGGTTATATTTAGGAATATATGTGTGTCTCTGTGTGTGTATATATGTATATATATAGTCATATGTATATGTATATACATATGCATGTAACAATTAATGAAAAAGGCAATGGATTTGAGAAAGAGCAAGGAATGGTATATGGGAAGGTTTGGACAGAAGAAAGAAAAGGAGAAATGATGTAATTATATAACATTTCAAAAAAACAAAAGAAGTAATAAAAATGTAAATTAGTACATTTTTATTTATGTATGTGATGAGTGTGCATGCCCATGCCCATAAGTAAAGAGCAGTGGATAACTTGCTCCATCAGGTCATCTGACTTAGCAGCAAATGCCTTTACCTACCGAGTCACCCCAAAGGTCCCTTTCCCTCTACTTTTCAAACTAAAAAAAAAAAATTTTTTAAAGGAATAAATGTGTAATTGCCAAAATTAATTGTAACAACAGCCGAGAGGTCTCGTCCATTTCCACCAATCACTGTTTTCAGCCCACAGCCACTGAGGAGGGAGCGGGAGAGCCACTGTTTTCTGAAATCTGGGAAGGTGTTTTCTCTCAACCAAACTAAAATGTTTGCTATGAGGTGTTTGGTTTTATCACCTGTGACTATCACCTTGTGACTGTACAGGCTAGTTTTTTCCCTCCGAGAGTTGCATGTGAACTAGGTGTAAATGAACTCTGCTCACAGATCGGTGTGGTGGGCAGGACCGGAGCTGGGAAGTCGTCCCTCACAAACTGCCTCTTCAGAATCTTAGAGTCTGCAGGTGGCCAGATCATCGTGGATGGAGTGGATATTGCTTCTATTGGACTGCACGACCTTCGGGGAAAACTGACCATCATCCCGCAGGTTAGCCCAGAGCTTACTCCGGCACACACGGTAGAGAAGCACTGACATGAATTAACAGCACACCCCGGCAGTCCCGTTAGTCACTTCGCTTGTCGTTGTACCTGACAAGAAGCGACTTACAGGAGGAAGGGTGATTTGGGTTTGAGATGGGGCGTGGCCCATCGTGCTGGGAAGGATGGCAGCGTGAGTGGACCCTGGTACACTGCGTCTGCACTCACCAGGTAGAGATGAGTGCTGGCCCTCGCTGTGCTTTCTCTTTCTCCTCAGTTTAAGACCCCGCCTCGTGGAATAGTGCGGCCGGTGTTTAAGGTGTTTCCCGTCTCAGTTTACCCCGTCTAGATACTCCCTTGCAAACATGCCCAGGGCTCTGTCTCCTAGATGGTTCTAGACCCTGTCAAGTTGACTCTCAGGACCCACCTTCGCACGGGGATTCCAGACAAGTTCCCTAGAACACTGCTTTTAGAAGAGCTCTGGAATTTGTGCGTAACGTGTGGCTGCCGGGATTGACCAGTAGGTGGCAGCAACGCCACAGCAGTCAAATAGAGCAGATGATTATTTGGCGCTTCCGGAGCCCATCATGGTTTGCTGAGACCTTTGCAATTAGCAGTAGCAATTTTGCTGCTGAAGCTTGAAGCCATTAAGCTTTATATTCCCCATTTGATGTGACTAAAAGATAGAGGAGGGAATTTGCTGCAGGTTTCTGCCAGCAAGCGGAACATTTATTGTATCAGCAAGAAAGACCTCCCTTTGGCTTGCTCTATGGACCCTACCAAAGTAAGGATTGCCTTGGAGGCCTCTCCACGCTCAGGAGGTGTAGAACCATTGCTTCTCTCTGCACTGTGGCCGAGGGTCTGTGGAGGATTTGTTTGTCTGATGTTGACCGATGTGCGTCATCAGATGCCCCCTTCGGTCACATGCCCTCTTCAGTCACTCTCTCTCTCTCACTCCATTGAGACAGGGTCTTTCATGGAGCCTGAATGTTTTGGAGTTTTTGGTTGTTGTCTTTATTTTTATGTTGTGTGTTATGACTGTGTTGCCTGCGTGTATGTAAGTGTGCTGCTCACAGAGGCCAGAAGAGGGTGCCAGATCCTCTGGACAGTTAAGGGCAGTTGTGAGCTGCCGTGTGGGCACTGGGAACTGCACACAGGTCCTCTGCAAGGGCAGCAAGTGTTTTAACCACAGAGCCACCTCTCCAGTCTCTGGAGATGAGTGTTTTTGGCTAGGCCAGTGGTCAGTAACTCCAGATATCCTCTAGTCTCTGTTCCTCTTTCCCTTCAGCACATAGGCTCAGGATGCCACACTCAGCTGTTTTTCTTTTTAAAGATTTATTTGATGTATATGAGTGCTCTATTGACTTCAGGCCAGAAGAAGAGGGCATCAGATCCCATTATAGATGGTTGTGAGCCACCATGTGGTTGCTGGGATTTGAACTCAGGACCTCTGGAAGAGCAAGAGCAGCCAATGCTCTTTTTTTGTTTTTGTTTTTTTCAAGACAGGGTTTCTCTGTGTAGTTTTGGTGCCTGTCCTGGATCCTGTTCTGTAGTCCAGGCTGGCCTCGAACTCACAGAGATCTGCCTGGCTCTGCCTCTGAGTGCTGAGATTAAAGGCGTGCGCCGCCGCCGCCGCCGCCGCCGCCGCCACCACCACCACTGCTGCCCAGCCCAGTCAATGCTCTTAACTGCTGAGCCATCTCTCCAGCCCCCACACTCAACTTTCTATTGGATGCTGGGGATACAAACCCAAGTCCTCATGCTTGAGCATGAGACCTCTCTTCGGCCCCCATGTTTCCTTGGTTCGGTACATTCTCTTCTTTGTCCTCTTCAAAATGTAAGATCTTCTCGGACGACTACACCGTCTCTTCTTCTGTCTTCCTAGTCTATCTGTAAGCCAAGAGTTCTTGTTTCAGGAAGGGATATTCTCCTCACCTCCTAAAGAGATACGGCAGCAAATCTGGATGTCTACAGGAAGGTTCCAGAAGGGACCAGAGCAGGTGCAAACCAAGGACTCCGGTTACCCCTGTGCTTAGCTCCCTAGATGCAGACACTGCAGGGCTTCGGGGGTTTAGAGGAGGTCATCTCAGAGCGCTTCTTCTGGCACAAAGGGTGACTGAGTCCTTGGCTGACAGCTCCCCATTCTCTGACTTGCAGGACCCCATCCTGTTCTCTGGGAGTCTGAGGATGAATCTGGACCCTTTCAACAAACACTCAGATGAGGAGATTTGGAAGGCCTTGGAACTGGCTCACCTCAAATCCTTTGTAGAAGGCTTACAACTTGGGTTGTACCATGAAGTGGCAGAGGGTGGTGACAATCTGAGGTAATGTCTGGTAACCTACTTCTTCCACAGGCAGTGAGAGGATGTGAGGGAACTGTTCTTCGTGTTCCTATATTAGCTATGGTCTGGCATTAGGGATTTACACTGTATAGGTCTAATTCCTAATGTGTAAAACTATGATACAACAGCTGTAAAAGTGCTCAGAAACACTTGAAAGCCTTTGTTGTTAAATGTGCCCTTCATGTGGCATTATATCACGTGAGCTTACAAGTGCCAGGATTGTGGAGAATCATGGAACGCAGAGTCTCACAGTCTCAGCAGCAATAGCCAGCTCCCTGGTCCAGCCAGAGTCTGGTCTATCTGTTATGAAGCACAGACTGGACACAGGGCCATGAAGATCCCCACAGGCTATGGAAGGCATTCCAGTTTGAGAACCACCAATATAAAGGGTGCGTGGATGAGATTTACCACTGGAAAAGCCCTTGAGCATTGTGGAAACACCTGGAATTGATACAATGACTCTGAGTCATTACATTTTTAATATTCTGAAACCATTTCTGGTCCATTAATGTGGGTTCTGGCATTCTCCCTGTGAGCATTTGGGGTTTCCCTTCACATCCTGAATGTCAGCCCTTAGACAAAGCCCGCTGCTCGTGGACAGTTCTAGCTCTGACCCAGGTTCCTCAGGAGTGGAAGGCAGGACACAGACCAGTAGCAGTGAAACACAGGAAGGGAAACTCAGTAGCTCAAACAATGGGCTGGACGCTCTGGATGAACCTGGGAGCGTCATATGAACACAGAACCCCAGACCCTATGCCTACTAACCTGAACCTACTACATGTTAGCAACATTCCCAGGTGGCTCGTGTGCATGCTGCAACTGGAGAAGCCTGCTTAGAGCCCCAGTTTCTAACTAGACTGAGGAAGTCACCCAGGGAACTTAAGTCCTGGTGTCCAGACTGTTCCCCAGACCAACTGAACCCAGGACTAAGGTGACTTCACCCACGGGGGCACTTACATGGTTTGGTAGTGAATGTCATCCACCTTGCTTTCCCTTGGTAACAGACACAGGAGCCAGCAAGGCTCAAATTGCTGTTTAGCCTGATGTAAAAGACCATTTAAATATGCAGTCAATACATACATATTAACACCTACTGTGTGCCAGGACGGGGGCACAGAGGCAAACAACACAGATACAGCCCTGGGCCTCCGAGCACAGGAAACAGCGGGGGAGTAAATGGCCATGCTGTCAACATTGCAGAGGGCCAGTGAGACATTGTGGCAGGATGTGACAGTGATGTCCCTTCTCTTGTCTGCCTGGACTGACTTCGCTGGCGTTCCTAGTGCTTTGATTCAGACCTGTGTTGCAGACGGGTTTAGGGAATTGAACTGACATAGATTGGGAGGGAACAAACAGCTTCACTGCCTGTGGTGACCGACGTTTGGTAGAGGCGCACGAGAGAGCAGGTGAGGCTGGAGCGATCCCTGTTACTGTAAAGCAGAGCTGACCTAGGCAGAAGTCCGCTGCCAGCTAAGTTAATAATTCTGCAGTGTGCCTGAACTTACATTACAAATACTGGAAGTTCATCTTGGGTGACTTCTCATCTCCTGCAGAAATTTTCTTACAGAGAATTACAGAACATTAGTCTAGCTACCCCCTGTTTAATACAATCCCTAATGACCACAGCAGGGAGGAGTAATTAGCAGACTCCCAAATTTTTCCTTCACATCATTTCCCAAAGCTCCTTTATGTAAGTAAGAGGTCCAGCTTTCATTATCGGCTTTTACCAAATTAAGGCTATTTGCATTTTACAAGTATATTTGAATTCCACATACATTGCATCTCACACCAAGACACCAGGCTCATTAGATGGCTTTGTCTCTAATCAAGGCAGAAAGCCTTGAACAAATAATTAGCCTTGAAACTAGAATTACACATTAAAATAATGAATGCATTTGCTAAGGCCACAGATAAATGCCACTGGGACATCCTTCTGCAAAGCCACCCTGTATCAGCAGCGCCAGGCCACACGCTGCTGTAGTAAACTTGGGGGCATTCATGTTGGGTTGCAATTGTCGCTATCTCGATGGCCAAATACAAAGCACTGTTTCTGGGCCAATGTTTTTAAAATTTGCTTCAGCATGAACATTATCTGGAGTCCTTATTAAAAATGTACAACTCTAGGCCCTTCCCCAATCTGTGTAAAGGGAAACCCAGACACAAACTTCTTATCAAGATTCTCTGGTAAGTTTTCTAACTGAGGAAGTTTGAAAAACATTGGCTTTAACAGTGACCAATGGTAGGTTTGGAAGACTGATCTGGGTCATGAAACTGGGTCCTAGCCACAGGTTTTCCCCTAGTTTTCCCGGCTTGTATGTGACTTCTTCTGTTGGCTGCAGCATAGGGCAGAGGCAGCTCCTGTGCCTGGGCAGGGCTGTGCTGCGGAAATCCAAAATCCTGGTCCTGGACGAGGCCACAGCTGCGGTGGATTTAGGGACAGACAACCTTATTCAGACGACCATCCGCAACGAGTTCTCTGACTGCACGGTCATCACCATTGCCCACAGGCTGCACACCATCATGGACAGTGACAAGTGAGTGTGTGTGTGTGTGTGTGTGTATGTGTGTGTGTGTGTGTGTGTGTGTGTGTGTGTTTAGTTGGGGGGTGGACCTCACCATTGCCCACAGGCTGCACACCATCATGGACAGTGACAAGTGAGTGAGTGTGTGGGGGGGGGAGTGGGGGGGTGAACATCACCATTGCCCACAGGCTGCATACCATCATGGACAGTGACAAGTGAGTGTGTGTGTGTGTGTGTGTGTGTGGTGGGGGGTGAACATCACCATTGCCCACAGGCTGCACACCATCATGGACAGTGACAATTTAGTGTGGGGACAGAGCCTAGTCCAGGACAACAGTTACAGTGTCAGCTCGAAGCCCAGAGGCACTTTACAGCAGGGGGCTTAGCAGTGTCGTTTGGAGCCCTGAGGCCTTGCAGTTTTAATACTTTCAGCCAAAACTGTACATCAAGCTAATAGGAGCGAACGGGGGTAAGGATAAAATAGTGAACTCTATTGGCTGAGTATGCGAAGATCACATGTGGCAGATGTGGGCATTAGGCCGTCCTAACCACCACAGCCGCAGCCGTGCCTGCTCAGGCACTTGTAACTGTTTGGAGAGGAAGGAGCCCCTTTAACCCAGCACACACTTTGTAACACACACACACACACACACACACACACACACACACACACACACACGTGGTCTACTCCATCAGCCCCTTTCATCCAGCTTAGACACGAGTCATCTGGGCCCGTGCTCACTGCCGAAGTTGACCGGACTCAGTCCTGGCTGTTCTTACAGATGGTGAGCTTTGAGACACCACCCCCTAAAGCTTGTCTTTCTCCTGTTCCAGGATAATGGTCCTCGACAATGGGAAGATTGTGGAGTACGGCAGTCCTGAAGAACTGCTGTCCAAAACGGGTCCCTTTTATTCTATGGCCAAGGAAGCTGGCATTGAGAATGTGAACAACACAGAGCTCTAACAGCTGGTTCCACAGCTGGAGAACTATGAGGAGCCTCCTTATTTACTTGTGGGTTTTGTGACTACGTCATGGGTGCAAAGATACATATTTTGTTGCAGTTGCTCAGGTTGGCCTCAAACTCTTAGGCTCAAGCAATCTCTGGTCTCAGCCTCCCATGTAAAAATATACATTTAAAAGAGTATCATAAATGGATACTTAAATAATATTGTTAGGTACCTTAGAAAATCCTCAGCTGAGCTGGGGAAATGGCTCAGAGTGTTGCCTTGAAAGCATGAGGACCAGAGTTTGAGCCCCAGATTCATTTTTTTTCAAGTGGGCATGGTGGCACATGGTTATAATGCTAGTGCTGGAGAGCCAGAGATTGGCAGATCCTGGGGCTCAATGGCCAGTCAGCATCGCCTGCTTGGGAAATTCCAGGTCAGGAAGAGACCCTGTCTCAAAAAACCCAGGTGGACAGCGCCAAAGGAACAGCACTTGAGGTTGAACTCTGACCTCAACACACACATTTCCTACATATACAAACATGTGCATACGCATCTTAAAAAGAAGAACCCTCATTGCTCTGCCTTGCTTAGAATTTCTTGCTACCCCCCATTCCCAGAAATAACCGTTATCCTAAATTTCGTAATTTGTTTGCCTGTTGTTTTAACTTTTACCACCTTTGTATATTTAAGAAATGTATGCTGTCTATTCCGATGTAAATGGACTCATACTGCATGTATCATATGGCTATACCTTTGTTCAACAATACATTTGCAATTTGTCTGCATTGATGCACATGCGAGGTGCCTTCACTTCTACTGCTCTTCGGCAGGACAGCATTGTGTAGTGACTAGATCGTACTTAATCTACTTACGTATTGGTGAGTGGTAGGCTTATGTCCAGGGTTTCTCCTTTTCTATCATTAACATTAGTGCTATGAACATCCTGGGTTGCTGTGTTTGTTTCTCTAAAGCCTAGTTTGGAAATGGGGATTGTGCAATGTTTACATGTCCATCCTGAGCAGTTCCAGTTTAAACAGTGAGTACAACTACGACTTTATTTTGGGGTCATTGTGTATGTCCCTGGCTTCTGTGGAGGGGCAATATCTCTGTGTTTCTTGGAGGGGCATTCAGATTTATTATATAGTTTTTAAAAGGTTGTATCTCATTATTTCAATATCTGGATTCTTTCTCATCTATTGCTTTTAATGTTTATTTTTGCTTATTGATTTTTCATTTTTAAAAAATTTATTTATTTTATTGTATCATATGAATATTTTGCCTGCCTGCATGTATGTGGACCATGTGCATCAGAAGCTGGAAGAGGGCTCCAGAGCCCCTGGAGTCACAGACAGCTGTGAGCCACCATGTGGGTGCTGGAATCGAACCTAAGTCCTCTGCAAGAACAGCAAATGTTCTTGACCACAGCTATCTCTCCAACTCCCCCTGCTCCCATGCACTATTTTTTTTTTATTTTTGATGTCTTATTTTTTGTATGTCTTCTGAATTTTTTCTGTGAACTTCTTATCTCCCTTATGATTCGATCTGGGAATATTCTTTGAGGTTGGAGTTAAACCCAAATTCTTCCTAAGAAAATTTTTGAAGGCTTCTGCCAGCCACCTGGGATATCCCCCAGACCTCTTGGGACTAAATTCTCCACTAAGAGTCCAAACCAAGCAATTCAGGCAGCTTCAGATCAAAGTCATATATAAGCCCTGGTTTGTGATTTACACGTCTCAAGGAGAGTCTCTGCTTCATCGATAAGGTGGAGATGGGCATGGGCTTCTGCTGCTGTTGGTGGCATCTGGATTCTATGTGGCCAGCTCGAGAGTAGTTGTTTCAAGACTCAAGTTTATCAGAGGAGTCTGTATGGGTTTATCTTGGCTTTATCTCTTAGCTGGCACCCTCTATTAGCAACAGAAGTAGACTTAAGCTTTCTTTTTGGAAGTCTGCCTGCCCTTGTCTCAACCTCAAGATGCCTTTTTGTGTCACCTTGGAGGAGCATTGTATTCTTCCGATTGAGGATGTAATTATGAAGACTTTAATCTATCCAGCACATCACTGTTTAGTCAGGTTCTCAGAGGAAGGGTATAAAGCTAAAGTAGCCTCCGTCTCCTTGCTCTGGCAGTTACCAATTGCATCCTTTATCCAAATCATAGCTCTCCCCTACCCTCTAAAAGTAGCTCTGATTCGCTAACACTGTACAGGTTTCCAGGACATGAATGGTGACCAGCAAAGTTGTGTGGCTGTCAAACAGCTCGGGAACGTTATAAATAGTTCATAATTAGCAGCTAGCTTTCAAAGCTAACTTTTGAAATATTAACAACTTACTCAAAATGTAGCTCCTATAGCTGCAAATTAGTATATATGAATCAAAGACTCTATCAACTGTACCCATTGTCTTATGTACCCCCAGAAAGAGCATTCCTAGTTAAATTCCTAGTTAAATGTGCCTTGCATGAGATACATCCTTTTTTTTTTTTTTTTTTTTTTAGCAGAGGAATGGCATTTGAGGGTTGGTTAATATAGTGCTGTATCTCTAAAGCTCTGTCAGAGCGAAGTTGTATCTCTGCTATCACATTTGCTCCTTTGTGCCCCGCGCCCCGCCCCCTCCACAACCAGACTCTGTTGCTCCCTTATCACTACAACCATTATCTCCATCTTCTCCTCCTCCGCTCAATTTCGTTTTCACCACCAGATGATCAGTTTGCACCATTTTTTATCTCATCGCTGGAATTTTAAGAAATAGAACTTTCTTGTTCTATAATTTAAAAAAAAAAAATCCTTATTTTCTTCCCAAGCACATTCTAAACAAATACAATTCTCTAGTTTGCTTCTTTAAACAAGTTTCCAGGCACACAGCATTTGGAGAGGCAAGGGGAACTTTGGAAACCAGAGGAACAGTTTACACCTGCTGAGAGCTAACTGCCCAAACCAAGACATGCACCAGAATAAAGCACTGCAGATGGAGGAGGAGAGTCCTAGCAAGGTCCGCATTTACTTCCCAAACAGCCCAAGCTGAGCTTTGCATTCTTATCACCAGAGACTTAGACTAACAACCTGTTCTATTTATTTAGCATCTAGTAAATGTCTGGCATTTTAAAGCAATTTAATATAAATAAAACTATTTTATTTAAATAAATATTCAGTTCTGTTGTGTCATCAGTTAATATTCCTCTGCAAGTTTTATTTCAGCAAATTTATTTCTGGAACAATTTTAGATAAGTGCCAAGGACTAGAAATCCCTCCAAAATGCCACCATTATCTCCAGGGATCTTTTGGCTGCTTCCTGTGTCCTTGGGGACTGTTCTGTGTGCTGGGAATCATTGTGTTTCCAAATGAAGAAGCCCAGGCCATTATTAAGCTATTATTTTTCACTTTCAAATCTATCCTTCCTGATTTTGCTGTGTACAGTTGAGGCTGGGACTTACAAATCCTGGTTTTGTATTGCATCCTAGCCCTGTGAGTTTCCACCATCAGGAGCTGCTGGGGAGTGGCCTGGGGAAGGGAGAGTCTTGTCCCTGCCTGCTCTGAAAATGACATAAGAAAAAGACTATACAATTTTTTCAGAAGATCAAATGTAAGAATTATTCCATTTTCTTTTTTTTAAACATAAATTTTTATTGATTCTTTAGGAATTTCACATCATGCACCCTGAGCCCACTCACCTCCCAGTTCCTCTGTTTCCACCCTTCACCCTTGTAGCATCCCCCAAAAGGAAAATTTAAAAAAAATACTAATTAAAAAACAAACAGAAATCTACTTCATCCTCCATCTTCCACGCCTAGTGGCTGTGGGAGCTGCTGTGTGGGAGCTGTGGTGTGTCACCCAATATACCTTTTGTCCAAACAGCTTTATTTGTGAATATTCATTGTGTAATGAGTTGTTGGTCTGGCTCAAGGCCGCTGGCTTCTGGTACACTGTCAGTACTGGAACCTCATCAGAACTCCTCTCAGATATCCTGCTGTTGCCCTGAGTCATGGAGATGCTGTGGCTATGGTTCCACAGGATCAGGCCCTTCACATGCTCTAGCAGGTAGGTCATAGATGAGGTAGATGTTAGGGAGGGCCAACTCAGAGCTGTGGATATGTGCATGGGTGGTAACTGAGTTGGTCAGTCCAGGCCGCTGAGACCACACCCCTCAGGCGAGGGGTGGAGCCAGCTCTTCCACGGTGAAGGTGTAAGTGTTACAGCTCTGAAGGGAAAGGTATCCTGGTAGTCAGAAGCCAAGCTTGGAAGGGAAAGGTTGGGGGTTGGAAGGGGTGGTGTTATCATTAAACTACTTCCTGTTGAATGGGGACATCGAGGTTCTTGGGGCCATCCTGACCTTTATTGTCAGGATGTAATTGGGTGCTGCAGGTCTCTGGCTCCTTAGCTAGGGGCTGGTAATCCTGTAATCATAACTGCTTAAAAGTCTGGTTAGAAATCCTTTGGGTCTGTTGTTGAAGAAATCTAGACAGGAAGTTTATGAGGCGAGGGCAATTAGTAGGACTAGGAAAAAGAAGAGAAGAGGGATAAGAAGGGTAGCATCCAGTTCCAGATCTGACTATCAGTGATCCACTGGCCAGAGGTGTCAAGCTGTTTCTGTTTTTGAAGATCCATCTGGAGTTGTTGGATCTTGTCTTTCACTACACCTGATTGGTTGACATAGAAACAACATTCCTCCCCGAGGAAGAGACAAAGACCACCTCTCTCTGCTGTTAACAGGTCTAATCCTCTCCAATTTTGTAGTGCTACAGTGACCAGCAAGTCTATTTGACCCTGGAGGGTAAGGTTAGTTTAGCCACACATTGGAAATCCTGGAGGAATTTCGAGGCAAGCCGATGGGAAATAGCTAGGGAGGCAGTCAGTCCTGCTGTTCCAGTGGCGACACCAGCCCTGGCCAGGGCTGCTGCAGAGGGTCCGACCGAATTGCTTGTTTCTCATGCAGCTATGAGCCTAGTGATGGAACTGGCAAGGGTTCTTCACTGGGTACCACTCCTAATTTAGGAAAAAGGAACACCAGAGCACAAGTCCCAGACCACCCAGCAGGTAGGCAGCGAGAAACTTGAGGGCCACAGAGAATTGAGGCATTGTGAGTGTCTGGACATAGGGGCTGGGTGGTAGTACCAAGGGTTGTGGAATTATTGCAGTCTGTGGAGTCCAGGGTGTCCACAAGGTATGCTCCTGAGGCATTAAAGCAGTCTTTGATAGTGAAGAACGATGTGAGAGGGCTAAGGGGTGGCAGTGAATTTTGGCTCAGCGCAACTAACAAGCAGTGAGGTGAGGGAATCTAATAAGACAATGGCTGAGGCCACAAATGGTGGTTGCGAGTTTGACCCTGGAGGGACACACAACCGGCACTCCCCGAAGTGGTCAGGCAGGGCGTTATTCAATAGCTGATACACAGGGGTTAAGGTCTGAAACAAGAGATGATATGACAGGGAAGTGGAATCAATATCACCAAAAAGGGGTGATATTGGGGATGTAAGAGCCCTCAAGGAACTTTGGACCACTTCTACTGTGTCCATACCTGGGGCCGAGAGTGGGATGTACACCCTTTGTATTTTGAGTGTGTCCGATAGGCAGCTGTGAAAATGCTCTAGTAAAACCTACCAATGACTCCTGTCTCCCATCTGGGGTGCTATGGGGCCTTAATTAGGATATAAAAGATTCCCCATTCTTCATAAAAGGCAGCATGCCATCCTGAATATGTGTTATGTCTCCTACACGACCAATAAAGACAACCTCCATAAGTTTCTGGCCAGCACCGACAATAATCTCTAGTTTGATCATAGAGAAAGCGATCATAGGGACAGGTGTTTTAGGAATGGATTTTGGTGTTGTGAGTCGGTTGAGGAATTGAGATGGGTTTTCATGTCTTTCCTGGATGACCTCTTGGACCTTTTCATAATTTACTGCTTTAAGGATGGCCTTGTGAAGACCAGCCAGGAGGCAAGTTACAAATTGATCCCTAGCAAGGATGCCCCCTGGGATATTGTAATTCAATTCAGGGTCCTGGTTGAGGGAATGCCTAAGCCATGACTGGGTGGGCAGCCTGTCTCTGAGAAGGGAGAAAGGGAAACTAGAGAGGCTGGAGAGGAAGAGAGGGACTGTGGGTTGAAACTGATGAGGGGAAGGCTTGTTAGTGTGATTGAAAATAGTGGGAGGATCATCTGATTTGGGCCTCACAGCTACGAGGAGTTTAAGTCTTAGCTATAGACAGAGGACACTGTGGGAGGGAGCTGAGAGATGCGCCAGCCAGGGAAGAGTGTATGCAGGGTGTGTGCAGGGTGTGTGCAGGGTGTGTGCAGGGTGTGTGCAGGGTGTGTGCAGGGTGTGTGCTGGCTGCAATTGGCCTACTCCTTTGCTTTCTCCCCATCTTGCTCGCTCCAGCTCTTGGTGCCCACTTGACAACAAACTTACAGACCCATCAATGGTAACCTAAAAGACAGGGTATTCACACAGTGAACACGTGCGCGTGCATGTGTGCGTGCATGTGCGCGTGCATGTGCGCGTGCATGTGCGCGTGCGTGTGTGTGTGTGTGTGTGTGTGTGTGTGTGTGTGTGTGTGTGTAGACCAGACAAAAACAAACAGGGCTTGAAGTGGAGAAAAAAAGACATAGGGAATGGGGAATCTCTTATCATTTCCCTGATCACTTACAGTATTTGTAAAGGTCCCAAATAATACTAGGATTTAAGGTGCCATTAGGTGGCCCTTTGGATTGATTTTCTAAGGGGTATTAAGGCCAAATTTTATTGCAAAAGCAAACAAGTTTAGGGCCCTTCAAGTTGGGTATCAGATGTAGAGGCTGGAGGTTTTCTAAGAGGCATCCCAGTGGGGAATGGAGGGTATGGAAGACACCGTTCCCATGCGTGAGAGAGGCAAAGGAAAATGTCACTGCTGCCTGTAGTCACAGCATCCCCAGGACTCAGGGAGGACCAAATGAGGACCAAGTCATTCAGCAGGTCATCACCACACTCAACGGGAGTCAGGGGATCAGCCTGGCTAAGCCAGTGGAGAGACTGGGTGCCTGGTAACAGGCCTTTCATAGAGTCGAGAAGATAAGAAGGAAGACCGAGCTCTAGGAGGAGGGGTCTCATCCACAGGAAAGGGTTGGGGAAGGGGGTCACTAAAGCCCTGAGGGCCTAAAGGACTTACGGGCTTACAGGCAGCTCCGGGGGGAAGGCGAGAGAAGAGGGCAGGAAGGGGCTAACAATAACCCAGGTGAGCCTAAGGAAGCAGCTGGATTAAAGTTCCAAGGGTGGGGGATGGGGTCAGGTGAAGAGGGCCAGCTGTAGCCTTAGAGACTGTGGCTAGGGGTACATCTGCTTCCAAGAGTACTAGGGGGTGCCAGACACTCAATGGTCACTTCCTCAGACTCAGGGAAAAGTTGACCTTGACCAAAAGGGAAACTCATCTAATTGCTGCTGGTGGATGGGATGCTGAGCAATCAGTGAGCCTGAAGGTGAGTCCATTGCAGATGGACTGGAGATAAGGGATGGGGTCCCAGGGTGGCTCAGACCACATGGGGGAGCACAGGCACCGAGGGAATCTATCCCAGTTTGTCAGCATCAAACGTGTTACAGCTCTGAAGGGAAAGGTTACCTGACAGTGAGAAGCCAAGGAATACCCACATTTCTGAAGGGAAAGGTATCCCAACCGAAGTGTTACAGCTCTGTTCTGATGGGATTTTTTTTCTCCAGCAAAATGTTACAGTCCTTGATCTGGGAAAGATTTCCCTAATCCAAGTGTAACAACTCTGCTCCAGCAGAGGAAGGTTTCCCCAGCAAAATTGTTATAGCTCTGCTCCAGAGAAATGTTATAGCTCTACTCAGCTTCCTCAGAGTGTAACAATTCTGCCCCAGCAAAGGAAAGTTTCCCCAGCCAGTGTTACAGCTCTGCTCTGGTGAAAGTTGTTCAAGGTCTGATCTGCTAAGGGAGTTTCCCCACAGAAATGTAGCAGTTCTGTGGGGGCTTGGAAAGTTTGTTACATCTCTGCTCTACTCTGTCGTTACAACAAACCTCACTTGAGATTTATTGGGAGGGATGAATCTAGGAGAGTGACTGCTTCTGCCAGGGTGGAAAAGGGGCAGCCCCAAACTGATCAGGTACAGGGCTTATATAGGATGTGTTAGGGGTGAAGCTTTCCAAAGTGGAGA